TGTTCAGTTGTGGCTAGAAGTGGCACATTGCACTCACTTTTTCAGTTCGTTCCTTCGTTTAGTTCCGTTCCTCGAGTGATGAGTGTGTCTGTGGGTGTGTTTCGTTGCGTTGTCGCTGTCTGCTCCGTGTGTGTTTGCTTGCGCTTCCGGTGGTGCTGCTTTGTAGTTCACTGAAATCGTGCTGGGACACCTGAGTGGATTCATGTATAGGGCCCTGTGGTCGGTTTTTGATGGGGTTGGAGGCTTATGAGCACACCCTATAGTGGAAAATACGGTAATTCATTGTTATGGTGCAGCAATAGTTTAAAAAAAAGAACTACATAGACCTCTGTTCAAGCATAGACTACATGAAGAAATAACTAATAATAATAATTTTTGTTTTAATGTTATTTCTTTGGATGATGACAGAACCAAAGTCTTGTGAAGGCATTTAAAAAGAAACGTAGCATATTCAGAGTTTAGTTTCCCTTTACATAAGATCGGAATAAATAGCGTACCGTGATATTGTTACATCCCTATTAAAAAACTATAATATCAAACTATAACGTGAGTGGAAAGGGTTAACATTTCATATTTAACTCTAAAAGTCTGATCAATTCTACACATATAGGTGCCTTAAAGTCATGGAAAATTCACTTTAGGTCATGAAAAAGTCAAGGAATAGGTTTTTAAATTTGTGTAAAAATGTGTGAAGAAAGCAAAACACAACTCCGGGTATGTTTTTGATGAGGAAACAGCATTATAACATGGCTTAAAGATCACAAGAGTCACATTTGTGTAATATATGACCTTTAACATTGCTGCAGAGGGCAGGTTTACAGTCAAAATGCAGATGTTTTGACCTGTGAAAAATAGCGAAGCGATAAGTTGAAGATGTCATCAAGTTAGAGTGCTATTATTGATGACAGTAATGGTGTTGCAATTAGCGCGGCTTCAGGCTTCTCCTGGCAGTCTCACAGTGAGGTAGTGGACATGTTTAGCATAACTGAATATTGCATAAAGTGGTTTATCTAATCTTGGCGTCGTGCATTTACATTTCAAGTCTGATTTGTCATTTGTTGGCTGGCCTCCTCATCCTTTACTCTGCCAGTGTTGTCTCGGTGCAATGGAGCTCATTCAGTTTGAAAAATGAATATAGGTCAGTGAAAGGGAGCGCGCAAATTGCCTATTCTCAAGATTGTTTGTGTCCTGATGGATTCAGGGATAACATTTGCGAAGACAATTATGAGACAGAGAGAAATGTATAGCTAATACACTACCAAAAGTTTTTCCTTTATTTCATCTTTACTTCCATGAATATTTACATCGTAGATTTTCACTGAAGATGTCAAAACTATGTATGAGAAACATGGGATAAAGTAAACAAAAAATAAAAATAATAAAAAAACACCCTTCGCTTTGATCATTGCTTTGTACTTTTGGTGTTTTTGACATGGCACGGCTGTGAAGTGAAAACCATTTTATGTGAATTCACCAAGAAGATCACAAAGCAAAGGGTGGATACTTTGAGGATGTGAATTAAACATATGTTCTTTGTAAATTCCATATATCTTGTGTCATATATTTGCGTATTTCTATATGTAAATACAATGTAGAAAGTGATAAACATAAACAAAAAATACATTGAAATAGAAAGTGTGTCTAAACCAGATTTATGGAAGACTAGATTCATATAAACTACTGACAAATAATTATGATAATGGTTTTTATCATGATGATGATTTAGCATTGTTATTGTAGTGGAGTAATGTGGTTGATCATTGGCTAAATACTGGTCCAGTATTTTGATGTAAGGCAATATTTCTCTGGTATTGAAAAATAGCAGCATTATGTAAACATGAACAATTGTCAGACTTCATATCACAGAACAATAACATAAGACATATATAATAATACAAACCAATCCAATCCACTTTATTTATGTAGCACATTTTATAAACATGACAGTTTCCAAAGTGCTGCACAGACAAATTAATACAGTAAAAGAAAAAAGTGAATCATAATTAAAAACAACAAATAAAAATAGTTAAAATCCATAAAGCTAAAAATTATCAAACAATGAATAAAATAAAACATCCATCCATTTTCTTCTGCTTATTTGGGGCCGGGTTGGAGGGGCAGCAGTTTAAGCAGAGACTCCCAGACTTCCTTCACTGCAGACACTTCCTCCAGCTCCTTCTGCGTGACCCCGAGGCGTTCCCAGGCCAGTCAAGAGACATAGTCCCTCCAGCGTGTCCTGGGTCTTCCCCGGGGCCTCCTCCCGGTGGGACATGCCTGGAACATCTCCCGAGGGAGGCGCCCAGGAGGCATCCAGAACAGATGTCCGAGCCACCTCAACTGGCTCCTCTCGAAGTGGAGGAGCAGCGGCTCTACTCTGAGCTCCTCCCGTGTGACTGAACTCCTCACCCTATCTCTGACGGAGCACCCAGCCACCCTGCGGAGGAAACTCATTTCAGCTGCTTGTGTCTTGTCCTTTTGGTCACTGCCCAGAGCTCATGACCATAAAATAAAACAAAACAAATAGGTACAATAAATGAAAGACACAGAGGACCACAAAACTCATGTAGTGTTCAAAGCCAAAGAGTAAAAGTGGGTCTTCATTCCAGAGTTTGGGTCCTGTCCCCCCTGGTTTAAAGTCTCATCTTAGGCACCAGGAGCTGGAGCTCGCCCTCGATTTTAAAAGCTTAAAATCGATTCTAAATCGAGCAGGAAGCCAGTGCAAAGACGCAAGGATTTGTGTGATATGTTCTCATTTTTTGGTTGCTGTTAAAAGTCATGCAGCAGAATTCTGGACTAATAATATAAACCCATGATTAGATTCAACATACAGAAGCTGGTGCTACATGGTTATTTCATTCAAAAACAGTCAATTACCCGTAGAATTATGCTGTCCTTTGCCCTCTATTTGATATCATGGAGCCATGTTAAGCAGAGGGGATCAGGAAGTTCATTTGTACCTACACTTTCTCCTGAGAGGCAGAGGCGTAATGTGCCAGCTCTCCTCTGCCCCCTAAATGAGTGGGCAGGCTATTTAAGATCCTTAGGCAAAATAATTAATGCAGGAAATGATGGGAGACTCACAGAAGATTCATTGGAGGCGCTGACAAAATGAGTGATGGTCTTTCCTTAAAAGCTTGTGGCTTTTCAGGAGCAGCATCCATCAGTGACGCTGGAGGTGTGGGAGCTGCTCCATGTGTAATGTCATGTACATACAACAAAACGAGCCTGGGTTTACACGACAGGGCTAGGAGGAGGAGAAAACAGTATAAAGAGGGACGCAATTATTATTAAGAGTTTATTGATCAGTGGGTCAGTACAGTAGAGCAAAGCATAAACCGGGGTTGCAAAGGATTTCAAGATATAATTTACAAATTCTTACATGTTATCTCCCTCTCGACATAAACATCACTGGTTGAGCGGTCAGATCCACTGGCCCACAGGTTGGCTGGTGTGATTCCAGCTCCCACAGATGGACGCTGTCATTGTGTCCTTGGGCAAGACACTTAACCCACCTCGCCCTCGTATGACTGTGTGGGTGAATGGGTGAGTGGTTCCTTGTTGTAAAGTGCTTTAAGTGCCTCGAAGGTGGAATATAGAAAAATGTGAGCATTTACCATTTACCTTATAAATTGTATATTTTAGTGAACTAGGTCAAATCACTCAATATAAATAGGAGTTATGTAGGTGAAAAAAGTTTGAGAACCACTAGAGGTCAGTATAGTTCAAATGTAATACATAATATTATTAGTGCAAAGAGTATTTATCAATGAAAGCATTAAAAATCATTAAATTCATCGTCATTCAAGAGTATCTTGTGTGCCTGCAAGATGGGGCACACATAAGCAACCTATTTAAAGCAACACTGTGTAACTTTCTGGAGATGGTATGTGACATGATTCTGTGGAAACAGAAAGTTAAAACCTACTTTGTAACGATCTTCATCAAGTTAAATATGAATGTTAAATATGTATGTTGTGTACTGAACTCTGGGATATTATAGCCAAAAGAATATTTTAGTGGAGACAAGCAGGAGGAGATGCAAACCTGCTCAGAGTAAGGATGTATGTTTTTCAGTGCAATTAAAAAAAATATATATAAAAAAAAAAAAAGACACACTTTTGTTTTAGTTTATTTTTTGGCTAAAAGGTTACATGGAGGGACTTTATTATTATTTTTTTTAAAGGGCATTAAATTAAGTTGTAGGCTACTAATTACAGATTAAATATGTTCATTCCTACATCAATAACACTGTTGTTCTTAGAGGTGTTTTCTGCAGAGGTCATTGCTATGGCGACACCTCGGGTCACCCATGCACTTGGTTCAATTTACTTTGCCCTGGGTGCTCAGCTAATTATGCGTCCAATCATTCATCACGGGCGAAAACAAGGTGTGAACTGTGAGAGGGTGTGAGTGGCTTAACACCATTAACACACTGATCATGGTTAACCTAAAGGACAAACGATGGCCTTTTCTTTAGGCCTTTTCACATGTTCTAAACAGTTACGTGAAATATGAAGCTTAAGTTAAAGGTGCACTTTGTAAGTTTTCTAGTAGCGGATCCACCACCTGCTTGTTTCCATGGAGATGTACGGCTTTGTCTCTGGAAAATTAAATTTGTCTATCTCCATGGAGGCATGAAAGTAACACTACTACGCCAGTAATTTGTTGTAGAAACATCCCAGCTCACAGTAAGATATGTTTTAAGGTAAATTGTAATTGTTATTGGATAAATGCCTAATTCCTCCACCAGAAAAGCATCTTTAACAAGGGTTAATTTAGCCCGTTTTGCAATCGTGGTTTTTACTCTGACACACCCACTGATAATTACTATTACATAATTTATGATAGGACAAAGTGTACAGTTACATGCCTAAGTTTATTACTGGTTAAACATAATTAGTTTTTGACGTACACTTACAAAAACTTGCCCGTCCTACTCCCTTTTCCAAACTCAAAAGCATCTAAGATAAATCTGAAATGAAATTAATAAAGTAATCCAGTCAATTTGTATACCAGAACTTTATTTACCCCATGTAAAAAGTAAAATTTAAAAAAAAGGAAATTACTTATTTACAATAGTTATTTAACAGAAAACAAATGAAGCTGAAAGTTTCAAGCCTGTTGATTTTATTTCATGTAAGATACATTTTTCATTGAACCCTAACCCAGACATATTCACATTTTTATGATTGATATCCATAAATCGTAGATAACATAAGTGCTAGAAGTGACATAAACCACAGCAAAAACAAGCTGGCCATAATCCAAAAACGTTCATTTTGTCTTTTTTTTTTTTTTTTTAACTTCTTGGGTTATTTTTAAAGACATGACCCCAAGAAGTTAATATACAATTGGTCATGTTTTAAAATATGACAATGATTTTGAATTGCCATTTACTTAGAGTTAATGTTTACAACTATGAGATCTTTTTATTCATAAATCACAGTATACTTTCAAGACTCAAGCTAGTTTGATTAATGAATACAGCATTTAGTTCATTTATTTTGTATTACTAGCACCAAAAGGCCTTAAACTCACTGCTAATATTCAAGTTGAGTTATTCCCAGATTTTCTCATCAAAATCCAATGGTTACAAATTTAGTTTTAGTAGAAAAACCAGAGGAAAATCAGGCTCCAGATCCATTTCCCAAACTCAACCTTCAATTATTAAGACTGTTGAATGTACCACTTCTCTCTGCAGAATTAAAAAGGCAGATTTTCTTGAGCACATGATCTTCCCCGGCTCTCCACGTGAGCCTCAATTTCAGCCTCAATTTCGCTGGATGACCATAAAGCTACGGTCCTCTCCTCCACCTCTTCTCCTCTCCTCTTCCTCAACCATGTCCAAAAGTCATCTTCACACTAGTGCTGTTTCCTCCTGAATGAACAACCTGCAAGAACAACAAAAGAAAGAAAATAGTTAATGAAAACGTTTAGAATTAGGTTAGAACAATGTTGGGAAAAAATATAGAACATCTCTGACAAGTAATGCCATTTTGTTATTATCTACTGCTACTACTACAATATTTGTTGCGATATTTTGAAGAGGATAATATAATTGTAGATGGGACACTTTTTTGCTTTTAAAATACCTTGACAAGATTTTGGTGTGAATTATTACCGTCATAATCCCAAGTATTAAAGTAAAAAACATATCTCTTCATGTTGCCTGCACTGAAATGAATCATGGCATATGTAGTTCCCTATGTTTATAAGATGTTGCTATTATAAAACCATGCATTTAAGCAAAGGAACTTGTAATTCGATATACTGTGAAAGTCCACGATATTATTGTGAGACTTTTGACGATACGATATCACGATATTTCAATTATTATTACATCCCTAAGGTTAGTGATAACTTTTATGTCTTTGATTCCGCTAGACAAAAAGAAACATTTGCAGAGGTCTAAACTACATGATTACATATGGTGAGATGTATTAATAGCTAAATAATTCCAGCCTTTTGCAGTTATAATTCATATATTAAACATTAGGGATGTGCAAAAATATCGAAATATCGGTATATCTTATCATATAATGTGATGATACAGTATCGATATCGTGGGCTGCTGTGTCGATATCTCGCCAAGAGTATTTTAGTATATTTTACCAAATAATTTTGTGACAATGCTAGTTTTGTTGCTTGTTCAGAGGAAGGACACTCATTCATGCGACATATTTGACATTTTCACTGTTTATGATTTAAATGTTTGTGTTTCATATGAACTTTGCACAAGAAGTGTTTTAACAAAAACTTTTAGTATCGCAGTGATGATTTAGCAATTTTTTTTTATTGAACCGTATGAAACCGATTTGAAATATCAAATTGAATCAAAAGTGCACTGAATCGAGACATGTATCATATTGTGGCCTATGTATCAAGGTTTGCATCATATCGACATCTTCTTAATGATACCCAGCCCAAATAAACATCCAAGAATGCTGTCAAGACTATCAACACTAGCCCACAGATACACCCATGTAAAAATACTGTCCAAACTTTTTTACTTACTTATTTTTAATTTTACAGATGTTCTAAACCAAATGTGAATGTCTTGTAAATTAATTAACACTTTGTACCAAACTCCAATAGCCCTTTTTCTGTTACCATGGTAGCTATTGGCAGGCAGTAACCTTGACTATTAAGCTCAAATGATTCATAGACAAACTGAATAAACCACCTGACATTTAAACCAATGTACCAACATGTGGAGTGTCATCTTTAAGACCACTTGGATTGTTTCTAGTGTTTGCTGAAGTTATTGCAAAGTTGTTCTTTGTTTGTTCTGGCAGATGAGGGAGTTGAAAGAATCACATCAGATGCCCTTCAGTTAGATCCACATCTGTTGCCAGAGTTACTGTACGCCTTTATAGACACCCTTTTCATAAAGAAATGAATGAAAGGGCAACACAAAGGCAAAGGAGAGCCAATAAAGTTAAATCAAACACAACAGACGACAAACATCTTACTGACCCAGACTAAAAGCAACAGTTAAAGTAGCATTTGATGATATGGAGTAATACACTGCAGTGCACACATCTAATAAAACACATTTGTGTATTAGTGGTACTTTAGTTCAAGTGCTGCTGCAATAGATGATCAACATTTAATATTGGCCCAGACTAAATCAACAGTTTAAGAAGCATTTGGTGATAATTATGCTGGACAAATCTAATAATGAAGCATATTTTCAAGGTGTGTTGGGATGTACGTATGTGCTGAGATAATACCTGAACCACATACCCTTCCATTGGTGGGTGAAAGCTTAACTCACTGCACCAGTTACCCCAATGGGATGATGACACATGGTATGATAGCAGGTTTCCCAGTGGTAGATAATAACAACTATAGTCTTCCATAGTACAAATTACTAAACAAGCTGCACAATACGCCAGCAAATTATATCTGACGATGCTTTTAGCTTCACATTTACTTTGCAGATACAAGACTGGTTAAAGTCTTAGTAAATGGCTCAAGACCGAAACTGGGCAGAAATGGGGCTGGGCAAAATGCCATAAAAAACTTTTCTGGCTTTTCTGTTTAATGTACATCTGTGCTAAAACACACAAACATGGTTCCATCCTCTCCTTCTATTAATCATCCTCTGACTGACAGGCGGGTTTAAACGATCACACACAGCAGAACTCAGAAGAAGCAAATAATATTTAATAATAATTGCCCCTCTGCGATTACCAACTGTGATTATAAACTCAAAATTAGGGCTGCAACTAACAATTATTTTAGTAGTCAACAACAAAATTCTGGATTAGTTCAGAAATATTTTAGTTTTGTTTTGACATTTTGATATAATAATGGATTTGTCTTCTTTATAACGTCTTTTTTCATGCATTTTTTAGTATTTTTTTTGTAATTGGCTAGTCATGATTGGTCAATTCATTGGAGCACATCTCAAAATTATACTTTTTTTTTTTTTCTTTAGCACATTACAGACTCAAAAACAGAAAACTGTATTAAGATACCATGTGCAAGATCTGCGCTCCATGTTGTATCTGTGTTTGTGCTCCAGTCCATAGACATTAGATAATAATGGTTGTTAAAGGTGCATTGTGCAACTTTTCTGGTGAAGGGTCCATCACCTGCTTGTCTTCATGGAGATGTTATTGCTTTGTCTAGAATGTTCCACAGTAGAGATTAAATTTAAGGCAGACAACTATAGGCTACATTACAAGCCAGACTTGTGGAAATGCAATCCAAGGAATCCAGGGAGAATTATTGTATTTTTGAGCAACAGAAACACCCATAATTGACGGCACCAGACGATAGCAGGACAGAGGAGCTCATTCAAGAGGCTCCACTCAAACACTCACGACTACATTCATACAATACTCCATACAGATATACAACAACTCACCCTTATGTAACAGATAAGCCTGTTTCTGTCAATCATCATCATATCATCTTTGCATGTTTCCTAATGACCTCTTGTAAACTGTATTTATATTACTTTTTTTAAACTTACTGTACAAACCTTTATATAATTTATGTCTTATTGATACAGATCTATTGCTATTTTTTATTGCTACTTATTTAGAAGTTTATTACCCTGTTATTGTAATCTAATGTGACGTGTGAGCTACTGTGTCCAAGTAATTTCCCTTGTGGATCAATAAAGTCTGTCTAAGTCTAATGAATAAATGTTAGATATGCGTTTAATGTCATACCATGGAGCATTTCAGACAAAGCAATATCATCTTCATGGAGACAAGCTGGTGATGGACTCTCCAACACAAACGTTGCACAATGCACCTTTAAATAAAAAGTACAAGTTTAACGTGTTTTGTACCTTCTGTGAGTCTGGCTTTCCCACCCGTGGGCTGACAGAGGACTGTGGAGCAGCCGACACACAGCACGACGGTTTGAGCATGACTGAACACGGTGGTGATTTTGTAGCAACCTTCAAAAACACACAAAAGTGAGAAGAGAAAGCAGCGGGAACGTGTAAATCATTGACTTTCGATAAACACTGAAAACTCATGTGTCCGTGCAAGTGTTGAGTTAAGAGGCAATTTGCCACTCAATTTGACAGCCACACGCTTTTCTGTATGCCTTATTTGACACCCTAGTCACCGGAAGAAATAATGATAGGGCAACACATAAAGGCAAAAGCGCAAATGGACAAATAACAGCAGGCTAGTTTCCCCATCCAGCAGTAAGAGGACCCCTGGGAGTATATGTGCTTTGAATTATTTCATATTAAAAAGAAGTGAATACGTGATGAAGATGGCTTAATGGTTGAGATTGAACAGTTAAGATTGTTTCTAGGTTAAATCATCTTAACAAAGTACATGGTAAAATAATGTGTAATTAATGTCTTTTCTGTGACATAGGAGTAAACAGGAAAGAATAATTATGGCTTAAAAGTCCTTTGATGGATATTTATTTTGACAACTTTCTAATTACTGGAATAACACGGTTTGTAGTGGGTAGAAAAAGGTTGAGAACTAGTCTTTAAAATTAATGGCTGCTTGAGCAATAATAAATTAAGACAAATTAAACACAGATCTTACAAACCTGGACACTTAACATCCATAAAATATGAGTTGGGACATTGGACAAGGCGTTTTTTCTTGTGTCTCCTCTTTTCTACCTCCGGGGATGGGTTTAGTAGATCCTTTGCGAGCTGAATAATTAAGAAAAGAAAGTAAATATTTTATGTTAATGCAAATAAAGATTAGACTTTTTTTTTTCTTAAGAAACGAATAAGTAGATAAGCGATCCAGGACAGGAAGGAACAGACTGAAAATTTTCCAAGAGGTGACGACAACGTAACAACACTTGAAAAGAAAACTACGATTAATTTTAACGCAATTAACCCCTAAATGGCGACATTACTTTAGTATACCGTGTACATCTATTTTAATCTGCTGTCAAACCAAAACTAATATTTTTACACGCTCAATTTTAGCAACGTGGACAGCTCTTCTTGCACGTGCTTCGCCATTACGCGAGTGCACGATTTGTAAGCACAGAAAATCACATATAACGTGACAAGGCATAGCAGACCCAAATTTCAACAATATTATAGACGTTAATCTACTGAAATAACCACTTTTTACAGTCTGGTTGCACAATATTTGCTTTTTAACTACTTACTGGCATGTCTGCGTGTCTGGACTTTTACCGGAAATCACTGCCTCTCAATCCCGGAAGTTGGCCGCGCAATAATAAACACATTTTTAAAAAGCAACTTACAAAGGTACAGTTTTAAACTTTTAACATTTATAGTAAAAGTGTATAACCTATTTCACCTGTTTCTAACATCAGATATTTTTATTTTTTAATTAATTATTTTTTCTCAATATAATTTATTTTGTATTAGTGGTCTTAATTTGACCCAATTATATCTTATCGGTACCATTACTAAGATTAGGGCGACCAGACGTCCCTATTTACCGGGGACAGTCCCCTTTTTTGAGCTCTGTGTCCCCTGTCACAACAGATTTATCCAAAAAACAGTGATTTGTCTCAGTTTTATACAAGAAATCTCCCAGGTGTCTCTATTTTTGATGAATCTGATACCTGCCAACAGTAGAGAGAGGCATAAATTGTCATTTGTTTAGGTAAAATACAGAAAAGCTGCTTAAAATTGACCAAAACTCAAAGAAAATTAGTGCCGAGTGCGTTTTTTCTTAATTACGCACGCGTTTCACGATGTTTTAATACCAACTAACCCAAACCAGGGATGTCCTAGTTTTTTTTATTTTGAAAATCTGGTCACCCTAACTAAAATATTACATTTTTCATATAGACAAGTAATAATTTTGCTGACATAGCGAAAAGTTATGAAAAACAGTGTGGGTAAAAATGAAGAAAGAGCCCCATCTAGTGTCTAGTTCGTGTCCATGCCGCTTGTACTTCCCACTACGTTGACTACCAGTGGATCCGGGTGGAAGCAAAGTTTTTTGGAGTCTGAAAAAACACGTAGCCATCCCGGAATGTTTGCAAACTGCTAAAGACTGGCTGTCAGGGGAATGTAAAATACTTTGGATATATTTGGCGCTGAACACGTATCTGCGGTTGTCTTTGCGCATTTGGGATAGAGTGGAGTTTGATCCAAGATTGGTCCAAAACGGCGCAGTAGAGGCACTGAGGGGGATCGGAATTTACCGGTGACAAGGAAAAAGAGGACGCTTCCAACTACATGGGGCAGGCCTTTTAAATCACTACAAAGGAGACATCTACCAAGTATTAGGTCTATATGAAAGTAAGATCTTCAAGGAGTGAGTGAACTTTGTGCTATCCGCGCGCCATGGCAAAAAAGTACGATTTTTTGTACAAACTGTTGCTCATCGGAGACAGTGGTGTTGGAAAAACGTGTCTTATCATTCGTTTTGCAGAAGATAATTTCAACTCTACTTACATTTCCACCATTGGTACGTTACTGTGCTATTATGACATGTTGTGCCATTTTATTAAACCAAAACCATTACTAGTCTAAAATGTTTTTTTTAATGCATCTAGACCAGATTTCTTCCATTCTTCTTTTATTTTGAGTGCCTGAGAAAACTTACAAACTGGTTTCTGGTTTCATGTGGTGTGCTTAGACTGCTGTCATGTCTCAACTTGTCATTGAACTACCAGTCCACCACAATCTCTGCTGTTACTGTCTCATATCATTTTTTTTTTTTTTTTTTTCTTGTAGTATCTTCCCTGACCCTCTCCCCCATCTCTGCCTCTGATCTCATTCCTCTGTCTAGGCTCTCACAGGGTCCACCCACCCTCATTCCTATCTCTGTTAACCATCTCACTGCCTCCACAAGGACTGTAAAGTAGATTAGGGCATGTATAGCTCTACATGCGTCATAAAAGTCTCAACAAGTCAATGTAAAAGATGAAACAGGACTACGTCAGGACTAAATGGCCAAACCAGGATTAAACCAGAACTAAACCAGGGTTAAATCAATCAAACTTTAACCTTAGCATGACTTAATTATGCCTCAACTCTAGACTAAGGACTAAGTAGGGCAGATTAAACCAGGATAAAGACCAGGGCTTAAGGACTAAACCAGGTCTAAAATGGGGTTTTCCAGGAATAAACAAACCAGGACTTGACCAAGACTAAACCAGTAATTAATGCCATACCCAGCCTTAATCTGAGTAAGCAAAGACTAGACCTGGACTACAGATGAATCAGGGTGTTTCCAGACTATAGAAACAGGAATAAATCAGGAAATGTTGGTATCAAGTTTAAACCCACGCTACCAGGATGAAACCAGGGCAAAACTAGGCTTAGAAGTGGTGTCAAGAAGCTGGATTTTAGTATTTTAGAACTTTTACGATGCTGCCTCCTCCAGTTCCCAGATGGTCTCCAGTGATTTTGATTAAAGATTAAACAAAAACAGCCAAAACAGAACTATCAAACAGGAATGAGTAGCCTATGTTATGTTCTACAAAGAGAGGAAAAGAGAGAGAAGACACAAAACCCAAATATGGTCCGGGGGTGACCTATATATGAATGAATGGGGTGTGTGTTGGGTGGGTGGGTTTATGGTACATATTTATGCTGTTTTTGCTACATTTCTCATGCCCTTCCTATTTTCCCTTTACGTCTCCTTTAGGCATTGACTTTAAAGTGAAAACCATCGATGTGGATGGAAGGAAAGTGAAACTGCAAGTCTGGTAAGCGCGCACAGTTCTTATCTGCTAATGCGTTGTTGAATTTGACATTGTTGATAAGATAAAAAATCTCGTCCCAGTCGGCTCATTTTCCTGTAAAGTGCAGAAACATCCTCCTCAATATGTCATCTATGAAATAAAGAAAATATCTATATTATAGTTGACCCTGTGCAGCAAGACGAATTATCTTGTTTTTGTACATTCACAAAGGCACTACATGAATTACAAGGGCTGGGTATCATTAAGAAGTTGCCAATATGATACATCCCTCAATACAGTGCTCTTTCAATTTGATACGATATATTTCAAAACAAATTGATACAGTTTAATAAAAAACAAAGGCTAAATAATGGCTGTGATGCTAAAAGTCTTTGTTAAACCACTTCTCGTCCAACGTTAATATGAAAAACTTCCATTTTACTCATCAAAACAGTGAAAATGTCAAATGTGTTGCATAAAAGAGTTTCCTTCCACTAAACAAGCAACAAATCTGTAGCGCTGTGACAAAATAATTTAGTAAAATATACCAAAAAATACTCTTGGCAATATATCGATACAGCATCCCATGATATTGATGCTGTATCATCACATTAACCAATACGATATATATCGATATTTCAATATTTTTGCACACTCCTACTAATAACAAAATAATAATTTTCTCTCATCTTCACACGAGATGACCCAAAATATCAAATCTATTTGTTGTTGTTTTAATTAGAGATCTAAGATAAGAGAAGTTTGGTCTTTCCTGAATTGTTATACACTGGTAAACTACTATTGAAACTTTTAATAGATTTATATAAAAATACTATTACGTTGAAAATTTAAAATGCTGGTATATTATATAATTATATAAAAATACTAATTTTTTTAATAATCATTTTGGGTTTGAAAATGGGATTGAGTATCAAGCCTTTTCCTCTTTCTAGACCCACTATGTTCTCACACTAAGGCTCATTGTAAACAACAGTTACAGTCGCATCATTCACCTTCCCATTGTTTTAGTAAAAGTCATAAAAATGCCTCACAGCACTTTACACTAGTGGCCCTTTGTGTTCACCTTTACATCTGCGTGGCTGCTATTAAATGAAAATGAATTGCATGCCATTTATTTTAACGTGACAGGTTTATACTGTTCATTTAATCAATAAAATTTAATGAGACCGCTTCAAATCATTTCTTTATTAGTGTTGTCATAATATATAAACATGTCTAGCTCAGTATGCATGCTAAGGAAAAAGTTGAATACTTGGTATGTCACAGTAACCAAAATAACGTGATATTGCATCGTTAAGTCTCACAATAATGTTGTGGGCTGTCACAATATATCGAATTACAATTTTCTTTGCTTAAATACATGGTTTTATAGAAGCAACATCTCATAAACATAGGGAACTACATATCCCATGATTCATTTCAGTGCAGGCAACATAAAGAAATATGTTTTTTACTTGAATTCTTGGGATTATGATGGAAATAATTGACAGCAAAATCTTGTCAAAGTATTTTAAAAGCATCTACAATTATTTTATCCTCTGCAGAATATCGCAAGAACTATCGGACGGTGAGATACATATCATGATAATATTGTCCCGAGAGATTTGGATATCGTTACATCCCTATTGAATACTGAATTACAATTTCATTACCACAATGAAAATAAAAAACATTCTTTGTATGCAATTTTCAACACAATAAAATAGACTAAAATAAATCATGTAGTCTAAAATAACACTAGTTCTGTTAACATCAATACTACTCAAAAACCTTTACATTATCGGTAAATTAGCTTCTTTTCAACACTAGTTTTAGTATCGGTTAGTATGTGGTTATTTTTTTATTTCTTTGCCAACCCTATGATTATATTATGCATCTAATTGTGTACATGTACTTCATTTAGGGACACAGCGGGCCAGGAGAGGTTTAAGACAATAACAACAGCCTACTACAGAGGCGCCATGGTGAGTACAGGATGCCCATTAGACGGGTTAAATGGATAATTGGTCTGACTTCATCACCAGGGCTTTTGTGCTCTACCTGTAACTACCACCCACTCTAATACCCCCCATAGGGCATCATCCTGGTGTATGACATCACAGACGAGAAATCCTTCGAAAACATTCAGAACTGGATGAAGAGCATCAAAGAAGTAAGAGCCTTTACTACGCTGAAGTATTTTAACAACGCAGAGACAATCGCTGCACACAAGTTGTACAACAGGGGGTTTCAAATTTGGTGAATGCATGGTTTTGTCCTGGTTAAATCCTGGTTTAAATCCTGGTTTAGACCTGGTTTAGACTTCGTTTTAGTCCTGATTTTAATCCTGATTTTAGTCCTGGTTTAGACATAGTTTATACCTAGATTTACTCCTGGTTTAGACCTGGTTTAGACCTGGTTTTAGTCCTGATTTTAGTCCTGGTTTAGTCCTGGTTTAACTTCTGGTGTAGTCCTGGTGTAGTCCTGGTTTTAGTCCTGATTTTAGTCCTGAGTTTAGTCCTGATTTTAGTCCTGGTTTAGATCTGGTCTTAGCCCTGATTTTAGCTCTGATTTTAGTCCTGGTTTAGTCCTGGTTTAGTGCTGGTTTAGTCCTGATTTAGTCCTGGTTTTAGTTCTTGTTTAGTCCTGGTTAAGTTCTGGTTTAATCCTGGTTTTAGTTGTGATTTAGTCCTGGTTTTAGTCCTGATTTTAGTCCTGGTTTAGTCCTGGTTTTAGTTCTGGTTTAGAGGCGCTGCGTACAGGAGGAGTTGCGGCGTATACAAGGCAAAAGTTGACGCCCCAAACTATATGTAGGTTGTCAGAATTGCAGCATAATTTTACAGTTTACACACGCACCCACAATTACCGATACTGATACTGCTGCAGATGTGTACAGATGTGGACAGTTATTTTTTCTTCCAGTGTGTGTCGTGCCTCCCCAGTGGCTCTTTGGCGCCCCCCAGGGGAGGCGGGTCTCACCTATTGAAAACCGCTGTTGTACAACATTAAAGGACCCATATTATGTTATCTTTTGATCAAGGTGTTAATGTTGGTTCCTCATCACAAACACGCCTGGAGTTGTGTTTTGTTTTATTCACACATGTTTAAAGCACAAACCTGCTTATTTAGACTGAGCTCTTCTCTCAGAACAGAAAACACTCTGTTCCACTTTGTGATGTCATGTGGTAATACAGACAGTGTTCCTCTGTGTTTAATATCCGACTTGGAATTGACTATCTGTACTGAACAAAAGGTAAAAAGTAGCTGTTAACTTGAAACTACCACTACTGTGCATGACATCACAAGGGGAGCTTTGGAGATGTTGACAGATTAATAATAAAGGATTACCTGTACTCAAACATGTGAATTAAACAAAACAAACCTCCAGGTATGTTTTTGATGAGGTAACAGCAATATAACATGGCTTTAAGCTCACAAGAGTCAGTTTTTGCATAATATAGGACCTTTAAACCTTGACATGAAATTAAATTATACCAGTGGTGGAAGAAGTAATCTCTTTTATTAAGTACAGAATAGAGCAGCACAAAAAAACTTCAGTAAATGAGATCTAGGGTGAATCACTAATAGAAATGATCATGTTCAACATTTGTGTCCTTTTATAATACTTATGGTAAGCCCATGTAATCAATCCAGTGAGTTTCCAATCATGATTTTTACATGAATTAACTCAAGATCTAAACCACTCTCATTGACTGGTTGTCTGTATAGCTTTAAGTTCATGCTACTGGACTAACTGTGCCATAGCTGCAGAAATAGGCTCCTCATCTTTAATAATTGAATAATTCTGTTTCCTAGAATGCATCTGCTGGAGTCAGTCGGATGTTGCTCGGTAACAAATGTGACATTGAAGCCAAGCGGAAAGTTCCTAAGGAGACAGGAGAGAAGGTATTTACATGACCAGAATAATCAGTGGGCCCAGTAATTAGATCTGATTTCTGGTGTGTGTTTACTGTTTACATGCACAAAAGGAATGTGATCGTCAAAAAGCCTGGTGCTATGTCTCAGTTAATTAGTTAATTAGTGAGTCACGCTTGTATCTGGAAGACAAAATACAATGACAATACAATGACATACATTCTTCTTTCATTTTTGTGTTTGTTAGCCATGCTGTACAAGTGTAGATTCTGATCAGATTTTTGGTGTGCATGTAAACTTAGCCATTGAGAGGAGCAAATGAAGCATAATTATCATTACATGTGATGTGTTTGCCAAAGATAAACCGTGTCTATTTGTCTCTACAGCTGGCTAAGGATCATGGCATTCGGTTCTTTGAGACAAGCGCAAAGTCTAGCATCAATGTAGATGAGGTGGGCTAAAACATAACTTGTAACCATTTTATAAACACAATTTTTCTATTGCTTCATTTAATTTATCGAGATTTGTGATGTCTTCTTGAATTTTACAGTCCTTTTTGGCTTTGGCAAGTGATATTCTTCAAAAGTCCAACAAGAAAACAGTAAGGCCATGATTATATTTTTAAATTAATTTTATACAGCAGTATCTAATCAAACTATATTACGTAACCTTGCAACATCTTTGTTTAACAGGGTCATAGTGGTCGAGAGGTCAAAATCACCAGCAGCACAGAGAAAAAAGCTTCCAAATGTGTTCTTCTCTAGACGCTGGTCAGAATAATATTGCCATTTTAAGGACACTTCACTTTTGCTTAAAAACACATATCACATGTTTGGCTCCATCTTGTGGCGAAATGTATAAATGTACAAAAATATTTGGTATACTTGTAGAGAGGCAGACGGTTTTTTACTTTCTTATACTGTAACTTGGTACAGGTTTTCAGTTTTCAGGCTGTTTTGATATTTTTGTCATATAGGAAAAGCACACAGCTTAAACAATACCATTTTTAACTATTTCATATTAAAGGGAAGAAATATTTTATGTAATCTACATTGAGGAGGAAAAAATAAATAGTATTGGAAATGCTCTAGCCTGCACAGCCAACTAAATACAGACCACTATAGCTATGAATCGAGTAAAGTATATAGGCTTATGAAGGTGTAGAGAAAGTGGAAGACTGAATTGAGACAAGTGTAACATGAGATGACGGGGCGTATGAAGAATAATGGATTAAAGGATGTTAATAGTGGTGCTCGTGTGAATGGATACATTGCCTTTTAGGATGAGTGGTTTGATAAATGTAATACTTTCAATGGCTGTCTGAAGACCTTATAGGAATTTATCTGACATGACCAGTGTGTCCATGATTACAAATGTGTGTAGTTTGAGTTGTTATTTCAGTTACTTTGTGTGTGTATTTGCACACGTCACACACCTGCTGAATTAAACTTGTCTTTGGCTTTGTATTCAACACTCACTTGTGGTATCTTAAACTTTCTACTAAATCAGTAAATCATCAATCTATCGCACATTCTCTGTTGTTTGTGGATGCTGTGGGCAGATTCAGGGCCTCAAAGATGCTTCACTCATAAACTAAACTAACTTTAAAACCTCTTAATTCCCCCCCCCGCCTATCACTCTTACCTCCCACCTCCACTTCACTGTGATGGTATTTAAAGACTGCAGCCTTGAGCCGAGGGCCGTCGCTAGGCAACCACCCCTCCCGCAGCATCAGCACCACGGCGGTGCGCGCGCTGTGCCGCATCTTCGCGCGGCCTATACGTTGTGCGTGCCTTGTCATCACGCAGGGTAGGTTTCAGTTTGCAAACACGATACACCGCGTTCACAGCTCTGGGTGGTACAGGAAAAGGGCAAAGAAGATGGATAAATATAACTGATGTACTTCAGCTATGTGCTGTGTCCGGACATAGAGGGCGTAGATTTCGGATGACGTGAGCTGGGGAACAGTAGGCCCATGGTAAGCCTGCAATATACAGACTAGTGTAGGCAAATACATAGAGTATGATGAACACACGGGTTGAACGGGATACCCGCGTGACTGCAGGGAGAGGCAGAGGAGAGGGGGTGTCTCGGTTTTGAAGTGGACCACTGCAAAAGCACCGCAGGCCATTGCGCTCAATGAGATTTTAGCCTTCGCAACTTTCTGTTTTTGGCGCCGCAGATCGAATCGGTGTATTTGTTTGCATTTCTTCACTGAGACACTTATCGTGCCGATGTCGTCCGGTCCCACAGCTTTACAGAATGACAGGATGCTAAACAGCTAAGGTGAGGGGGCAGCAGATGCTCGGATGGCGCTCCTCGTGACAGCAGTAACCCCAGACTGAGCGCCGCGTGCCGGGGCTGTGGGACGGTGAATACCTGAGAATAAAATATCACGATGATCAGCGCTGGGATACTGCAGGAGCCGCGGCCTAGACCTGGCACTACCGCAATGCCAATACTTGGAGGCGTGAAAGGGGACCACAGGATGGGAAGATGTTAGCAGATAAACTGAACAGTAAATAAATGACAGTTGACACTCACGTGTGTTCGTAGTGTGTACAACAGCATCTAACAAGACTTATTCCTTTATTACCACATGACATTACCTTATAGGCTGTGTGTATCATGATGGCCTGTGAGCAGCTCAGGGTCATGAGTACATGGACTCAGCCTCAGAGGTGAGTGCAGTTTAGTGGCTCATTTCTTTTGCTGACTGTGTTCTTGGACTGGACCTCTTCATGGGGCACTGCGGAGGACTTATGGCAGCAGCAGCCTGATGCATAACAGTGACTGAGTGGATCTCTATGCCAACACTTCATCTGTCAGTGTATTTAACTTTATGAGCTGAGCTCTTCTCCGGCTGCACCTCCTCCTCTCCAGCACCATGCCCTCCCCCTCTGACTCCAGCAGTGTGGCGTCGGGGTCCAGAGGGTGGTCGGACAGCCGAAGGGGCATGTCGGCGCGGGGCAGTGCTCGTCTGCTGCTCTACCTGGGATTGTGCCACCTGGGTCTAGGCGCTATGGTGTTGGCCTTCTCCTTCACCAGTATGGCCTTCACCTCCTCGGCTCGCGTCAGGCAGTCCTGTCCCTTCTGGGCGGGCTTCTTTGTAAGTATAAACAAGACCACCGCTTTAACGAGAAGTATTCAGTCAAGCTAAAACTGTTATCTATTCCAGGTGGTTGCATCAGGAATTGTTGGGATCATCTCTTGGAGGAGACCGTTGACTTTAGTGGTAAGTACGCAGATTATAGTAGGGATACAAACCAAAATCTGGAGACTGCAGCGCCCACTTCTCCTAATGAAATGCCCCCGCAGCGTTTAAGTATGGGTGAACTGCAGAGGACAAATTTTTATTCGAGGACAGTAAAGTGCACCTTTTGATAATAAAACCATCGCAATTCCCTGATGTATTACAGCTCTGTAGTTGGTTTGGCTTAACTGTTATCCCTCTGGCCCACAGGTGTCTCTGTTCATGCTGCTGTCTGCAGTCTGTGTGATCCTGAGTCTCGCGGGCTCCATGCTCTCCTGTCAGAACGCACAGATGGTCAAGAACATGCTCACCTGTCAGGTACAAACACTCTTCTATTGTCCTTTATCATGTACCGGGCTGGTGAGGCTGTAAATGGGCCATAGAAACATATTTGATATAGACATAGGTCCTTCTGCAAACATGTACAAAGAAGAACATATGTGTGTTAAATGTTATGGCTGTCTATGGGGAGACAAGTAGACGCCATATCTGAGCAAATTAGGGCTTAGTATAACCTACATTTTCACATATAAATACGTTGTTTCCTATTATTTTCTGTACACATAGTTGTTTTTTTATGAACTCCCACGCTGCTGTAGTCTCGTGAGTGCAGTTTGCGTCATATACATAGAGATACATATTAGTTTTGAGAGCTTTAGTCATGCCTCTTTGTAGTTGACTAATCAATCAGCAGGGCGTGTTTTTACTTCAGGATTTATTTAGTTGAGTACTGCCCTACTTAGTGCTGGACTGGTTACAAGTGTCTGGCTAATTCTGAGCAGAGTGACTGAGCAATGTGTAAGTTTCAATGACTCTGCAACTGTCTAAATGTTTAAAGAGCCCATAATACACGGTTTACTGATCTTTCATGGTGTTGTTTCTTCATCAAAACATACCTGGAGTTGTGTTTTGTTTCATTCACGCACATTTAACACACAAACACTACACCTTCACTAGAATTATTTGGATAATTTCCGTGCTGCAATTGCCAGTTTGTTCTGAATTAAAGGTAAAAGGTCGGTGTTAAGAGATGTTGTGGTTGTGTACAGGTGGAGAACGGTCTGTGTGTCTGCTGTGCCCCCACTCACTCCTGCTCCATCACAGAAGAAGAGACCCTGGTCCTGTATCTGAACGCAGACTGCCACTCAGTGCGACATCAGCTCAAAGTCAGTTATTATTCATTCCCCGAGAGATTATTTTTGGCAGATTAACAATTACAACATCCCTCTGTCTAATGTATCTGTTGGCAGGACCTTTTGTTCAGTGCGTGTGGCCTCAGCATCCTCTCCACCATCATCTGTACTCTCTCCACTGTCACCTGCAGCATTCACATATTCTCCCTGGACCTTGTGCACCTGGTGAGCAATAGTCATTTATTTTTTTAGCGTATGCTGCCAAAATACTACAGCAAATCAAAATCAGGTTTACAGCAGATCTAAGCCAGGACTAAGACAGATCTATACCAGGACAAAATCAGGTCTATGGCAGATCTAAACCAGGACTAAGACAGGTCTACACCAGGACAAAATCAGATCTATGCCAAATCTAAACCTGGACTAAGACGGATCTATACTAGGACAAAATCAGGTCTACGGCAGATGAACCAAGCCATGTCTGAACTAGGACTGAACTAGACTTAAAGATGCATTGTTTAACTTTTCTGGTGCTTTTCTCCATGGAGATGTTATTGCTTTGTCTGGAAAGTTCCACAGTATGGTATTAAATCTTTCTATCTTCATGGAGACCAAACCAGACCAAGTTACTGGTCAGATCTATGTGGAGACAGCCCCACTCAGAGTCAGAATGTCTGTTTTACTAGATATTTTTGAGCTATATTTAATGTCATACTGTGGAACATTCCAGGCAGAGCAATGGCATATTAATGGCAACAAGCAGTTGATGGACCACCACCCAAAAAGTTACATAGTGCACCTTTAGACATGGACAAAACCAGGGTTGAATCTGTTCTACATCAGGACTCAACTAGGCGTAAACTAGAATTAAACCAAGGCTAAACCAAGTCTAACCCAGAAGTAAACTGGGTCTAAAACAGGATCAAACATGAAAAAAGCAGAACTAAACCAGAATAAAATGAGCCAAAATCAGAATTAAACCAGACTAAACCTAAACCACTAAAGCAGGACTAAAGCAGAATTAAAGCTGAAGGACTGAACCGTTAGTACAGTTATTAGTTGTCTCTCTTTTCTCTATTCTTAGCTGGCTCCACATCGCACTCGTTCTGTCAACCCAGAATGCACCACTCCACAGGACGCCTTTCTCACTAACATCATGGACTTTGAGGAGTTTGTCCCACCAATCCCCCCTCCCCCGTACTATCCTCCCGAATACACCTGCAGCTCAGAGACAGACGCACAAAGGTACTTGACGAAATTCACCACATTAGTACCACTTTAGGGTACCACTTATGGTTAGGGTATTCATTCCTTAATCATTCTTGATAAATTATTATTTCATTAAGAATAAAAAATGTAAACTTTGCACATGCATTGTTAACACTATGAAAAGTGTAGTTATTATTAAGTATTACCAATGGTTTAAATAGCAGAGAGTACATAAGTGACATAATTTTTCTTTACCTTATTTTATAAAACAAACAAACTTAATTCATAGACCTCAAAAAACATGTTCTGAAATGCATGTGACTCTTGTATTATATAATCTCTCAGTGTTAATGTTGCAGAATGTGTTTATGTGTGAGCTTCTGAATGATTTTTCCAACATCATTCAGCCCTACTTGATTTTGCATAAACCTTCTTGCTGATTAAACATATTTCATTTCTCTGTATTGATTCGAAGCATCACTTATAATGGGTCTATGGAGAGTCCAGTTCCTCTTTACCCCACGGACTGCCCTCCTCCTTATGAAGCTGTGATGGGACAGAGAGCTGCCAGCCAGGTCGGTCCAAGATTGACAAATAACATAAAGTTACACAAATATTTGTTTCTGAAAATAGTCTTTTTTTCTTGCGAAGGGAACTATGTTTGATGCGAATGGAGCTGAGGTTTCTGGAGAGCGGGCAACATCCACAGCTTTTAGTGGTGAAGGTAAGAAATGAATCATCCCTGTACTTGTGATTCTTTTCATAGGGCCAGTGTTAAAAAGGCCTAAACACTGACCTTATACTTTAAACTTGTATGTACTTTTGAAACATGTAATGCGTTACAATTTGTTAAAGGACCATTATGTAACTTTTCTGGTGAAAGGGTTACCACCTGCCTGTCATGGACACTTTTTGATTACTTTTGAAATAGTACTCTGACTTGTCATGAACTTTTGTCTGCCCACCCATGGTCATAATTTGATTTAGAATATTAAAAAATAATAATAATCAAGATTTTTTTTCTCTCATATTGATCAGTCTCAATTTTCAATGTCAGTTTATTTAGTCTTATCAAAAACAAAATCACAATGGCTCTTAATTTCATGAAAATGAACAGTGCAGACTTTTAATCTGTGTAATTTAACCACATTATTTCAAAAGAGTTTGAACTCTGCTCCAAACCACATGATTTTACAGAGTATTGACTGTTGAAACACTGAAGATTAGACATGATTGATTCACGATCTTTCAGTGAATTCCCCTAGCCAGGCTGGCGCCACCTCTGTTCAATTTCATTTCTCTTCAGTGTCTAGGTCAGGAATCGGAATACAATAAACGGTTTGCAAGAACCCCGGAAGTGTGAGTTTGAGCACCAGCCAATCAGTGAAGAGCCATATATTCTGTGTTGGCAACGATTCCCAAGATTGAGGATTTAAAGCCAGAACAAAAAAAAAAGTTCTTAGCCTCGTTAGCTGCGATTGGTTAAATGAAAAAAGTACCCATCTACTGTCGAGCGAATAAATTTTAATGCTGCGAGGTCAGACGGTTTCTACGAAGTGAAACCGGCTGAAGAATCAGGCTAGAATTCCCCAGCCCTACTAATAGTATACTTTTACTATTTCTATTCCAGTGTCTATGGACAGTGGATCCCTGCTTATGTCTGAGATTGTGGACATCCCAGACGACTCCTCCCCCTCAGAGGACTCCTGTCTGATGGAGGTGGGCTTGAGGCCCCAGGGGGAGCGAGGGGTGAGGAGCACCAGTGAGGGGGACACGGGCGAGGGCAGCACCTACATCAGCTTCCGTGGACCCCCATCCCAAACACCAGAGAGCCCACTGGCAGGAGGGCCCAGAGCGAGAAGGTTCCTGAGGTCAGAGAGATCCAACTCATGTTCCTCCCCCAGCACAGCCACCATTACATACAGGTAAGACTTCAACACCAGTCATTCAGTAAATATTCGAACCACAATTATTCATATTATATCGCCCTTTTCGTAGAGTTTTTAAAGGTGCGTTCAGACACATACCATCAGAAAAGCACAACTCGAGACTATCACAACCTCTTATTGAACAAAAGACAAGGAATCAATGACGATGACCATGCTTGTAGTATAAAAACATACTTGTGACACAGCAAAAAAGTGAAAAAGAATAGAAAAATTGTGATATTCCTTCTCCCAACTCTGCAGGTCCCCAGTATCGCGCCGTCAGGCTTTGTTAACCAGCAGCTGCTCCCAGTTGGAGGCGATGGCTGCCTCTATGGGTCCTCATCAGTCTACTGTCCCAGAGATCCAAGTCCGGCCCTCTACTCCCTCCACCCAGGGAGCAGGACCAACCCCATCTCCAGCGGACAGTAGACAGACCTCCCAAAGCCAGGGGGCAGTTCAAAACCTTCCCCTGTACTTGAGGCGGAGAGCGGGGAAAGGCGATGGAGGGAGAAGGAGAGAAAACGACACTTTCCTTGGTCTGGTGAGGTCTCATAGTGAACCTGGCATCGCCTCTTCTACAGATACAGGTAACTGAGACTCTTGGTTTGGACCTGTTGTAGTCCTGGTTTAGTCCTTTGTTCTGGTCCACTCCAGGTTTAGTTCCAGGATTATTGTTCATTCAAATTCAATTTTGATGCAGTGTTTGTGTAAGTGTGATCACAGTCTGAGTGTTCCTGTGGTCTTGTCCGATTCCCGATTTAGTCCCTTTTTATGTGATACATGCGCAATTGTGAAGCCACGCATGGTTAAAATGTGATATTTTGTTACAGAGAAAATCTGCATTTTTCTTCTCATATGTAAAAGTGATAGCTCTATCAAGTTTTGAACATAAAACTTTTAAAACTATTACTTTCATTGTGATGTATTTATATGGAGAAATATTTGTATTTTTAGTATCATTATTATTATTTTTAGTATTATCCTGACTACTTTACCTATTCTCCTCTCCAGTTGATTTTGGATCTGGAAGCAGTAAGGAGGCTTTCCTCACATCGACTGACACAGGTAAACAACATTTCACTCAATGTTCTTATATTCAGGACTTCACTAAATCTTTACTTTTGTCATCTAGCCCAATGGTGGTAAATTTCTATGTTGACTAATTACAGTTCGACTTGTTCTAACCATTTTATACATATTTGAAGATTCTGATGTATACAATTCTAGAGTATAAAACATAAGAATGTAAAAATGTGAATACATATGACATATAGATAGATAAAAGTACAATTTGAAAAGTAAAAACACAAACTGACTAACAATATTAAGCTAAAAAGTTAATATCAAGCCCTCAGTATATTGTTAGTGGCTAAAGTCTCTTCTCTTTCTTGTTCTGCAGCTCCAGGATCTGAAGCCTGTCTGTTGCCTCGTGTTCCTCCCACTGCTGCTGCTCTGCCCCGAAAAGGCAGCGTCAAAGCCGTGTCGACAGGAGGACATGTACCCGCTAAACCCTCACCCACCTCCCCACGACGCCTGCCCAAAGACTGCCACCGGTCTCTAGGGGATCTTAAGGTACATCTAAAGAAGAACTTCTGTTTCCACTTACACATTAAAAATCTATACTGACTTGAATTATAATTGGTATCCCTTATCAAAAGTATATTCATTCATGCATGTTTGAAATAATCCTGCATTGTCCTGTGTGTGAGATGTGAGTACAGAGCTCAAAAAAATATGTTTTATGTTATATGTTTTATTTTATGTGGTTCATCTAATAATTCAGACTCTGGTAATCTATGTGAGTGAGTAAAATGTTGTTTTGGAGCTTATGTTGTTTACAGTGAAGAACATGTAAAACAATTATCTACTTGACAGTTTAGCAATAAATACCAGAAAAGTACTTTATATCTTCTTTAACACTTTTACTTTTCACAGGTGACTCGAGTTTTGATGGCTCGCTTTCTTCAACGCTCTAAACGTAACTTAGCGCCTTCTACTGAGCATGCGGTAAATAACACACAAGGCCCAAAGAGGAGGGGAGGGTCTGAAGGAAATGGCCCGAACCATGGTCCTCCAGAGCAGGTGAGCCTGTGAGCTAGGGCAGTAGTCCTTCTCTTTAGTCATCTAAGAATTTATTTAGTTCAGTTACAGCTCCACAGTGAGACCATCTGTGTATCATTAAATCTTTATCAAGTACAGTATATCTATGTTTTAAAAGGTGTTGAGAGCCCCTTGGAACACCACCCGAGTTCATCCTAACCAGCGTCAGTCTCATCATCGCGGACACCACCACTCCCACAGCGACAGTCGACACAACCGCTCCCACAGCAGCCACGTCCCCGAGGGAATTCACCTGCGCAGCTGCGGAGACCTGAGCTCCTCCTCTTTTGCATCGCTACGGCGACTAGTGACTCCTCATGGGTCGTCTGGAGCGTTGTACTCGGAGTCTGCACTGTGAACATGAAGGGGAGGCGAGAGACAAGTTTCAATGGAAGGACATAAAACTGATGCCTCCCCCTGTCTGTTCATTTTCTAAGCTAACAGCCTTATGAAGTGGTGCTTTCATTACAAACTGAGTCACTGGATGTACACATCAGAGAATTCCACTCACTGGTCATTCGTCACTGGATGAAGACAAACTAGAAGAAACTTATGTGTTATATCTTACCAGCCTCTTAAGTCTTTAATCTGCAAACTCTAACAATACTTGTGTATTTTACACTCTGCACATGCTATTGCTTTTTAGGGCATGGCGCTGATGAATTATTTTAAAATCAAGTTTTGTCTTCCATGTTAAGCGTTTTAACAAACCAGTCCCACAATGTGATCAGCCCAAATAAGGTGCACTGTGTCACTTTTCTGATGGAGGGTTCAGTATTATTGCTTTGCTTAGACTGTCCCACTTAGAACCTTGAATAACGTGTATTCTCACTGTGAGCGAACTTGCCTCTTCACAGATCTGATCTGTAACTTTGCATGGTGATAGATTAGTTTACTGCTGTGGATCTTGCCACAAACAAAACAAAGCAATAGCATTTCTATGGGGACGAGCAAGTGGCCTTCCAGCAGAAAAGTTACACTGTGTACTTTTAAATAACACATCCACAGACTCCTGCACCAGAGTAAACATTATTTCACCAACTCATTTTGAGTTGCATTAATTTGAGACTCCCCATTTGAAACACACTCCACACACAGACTCACTGTATGTGATGCTACAGGGCCATGATGGTTTCCTTTACCTCTGTGCATGTTTGGCTATAACCACAAGCACCTTGTGCATTAGGTCCAGCTGTCTTTGTAACTGCAAGTAAGATGTTGTTTGAAAGCCCTACCTGCATGTTTTCAAAATGTTAAATAGCCTATTTATATTCTGTGCCCTCTACGTTGGTGGTGATGGTGACCGTTTGAAAAGTGGAAGAGGTCACATTGTTGAGTTTTGAGGCTGACCAGATGGCTCTTCTGCATCTTTAACACATTCAGATGGTGTTTGGACAAAAATAATAAATATTCACCTACAAAGCCTTCTAAAGGTTCACAGGAGGGTAAAGATGTGACCTGTTCTGCTGGGGTGCAGGATTCAAACATGCTTGCAATAATGTACAAACCCTTTCAGGGTACACCCCTCATGGGGACTACGGTGGTCAGTTCTTTGGCTGTGGATGCACCAGTGACTGTATCTTGTGTTATTAAGATGTGAAGTTTTTCTTTGGAATGTTAAATGCAGATTTAGGCTGGATCAGACATTACGTAAAGTGAACACAGCTCTACAGAGACACTTAATTATATAGGCACTGAGATGTGTTTCTACCTCCTGTCTTGCAAAAACATTATTTATTACAATATAAATGTCTATGGCAGGCTTAAAGTATAAGACTCTGAAGCTGTAAATGTATAAATATGACAAGTTTAAGGTTTTAAAAACAAGATAAAAATGCAAATGATGTATTTCACAGTATTAAATAAATTGACAATTGCGTTTATGGAGTTTGCCGTTTAATCCAGCTGTACTAGACCAGATTAAACCTTTGCCTTATTTTTTCCCCCACTGTTATTGATACAATAATCATTATACTACAAGTTCTTGAGCGTCTTCACTCCACTTTAAGCCAGCCCCTTTCAACCGTCCTATTGGCTACTCGGAGTGAAAGCCCATCCTGGTGCGATGCCTCGGCCCAGTCACATCGCTGCGTGTCAGATGGAGCCTTCAATGTTCCAACCCCTTTTACCACTCGCAAAGAACTCTGGGAAGTTTAGTTCGCCTGTTTTTTAATAAAGAGAGGCTCACTGAGGCTGTGAACTACAATTAGCACGTCCTGGATTTAGGAGACGTTCACAGACTTCAAGTTTGACAACAAAAGGCAAAAGAGAATAGAGTTGTATTAACAATTATCTAATTAGGGAGCAGGGATACGCACAAAATAAGACCATGGTAAGTATTTATTATTAAAGAAAGGTTGAAACTGAAAGTAAATGATTTTTTAAATAGCTTTTATGCATTTGTTGTCAGTGTGTGAAGAAAACAATACCAGCTAATGCGCTTTTTCACTTACTGGTGCTCTAATAATAGTGCGTCTCCTACTTAGCCTTATCGCTAATCTTTGGTGGATTTGCGTTTTGATGTCTAAAGGGTACATCAACGAATCAAAATTTTAGTGATGATACTTTTGCGAAACTGCCAAAACCGGCGGGGTGTTCGAGATCAAGTTGTTTATGGCTAGGGGACTGACTGACTGCAGTGCGCGGGCATGAGAGGACTTCTGATCAAAACCGTGCGTAAAACCGCACGGTGGGCGGCCCAGCATCAGAGACTAAAGCGTACATTTGTGTTGCACTCCTCGTCGTTACAGGGAGACAGAATCTGCAATGGTGTACAGAGCAAAAAGGCGTTGCTGTCAGACCCTCAGCTGTTTGACGCTCAGTTTGAGGAGCTGGTGACGGAGTTGACCGAGAGGGACCTGACAGACCCCGCGCTCACGGACGCACTGCAGCGGCTGAGAGAGGTTCGGCCTGTGTGTGTGCTGGAAGACCCATGTGAAAGAGATGCTCATTATTAGTGTGTTAAAACGCTTTCTCATGCAGGTTTTATTGTACAATGGTCCTGGAGGAAAGAGGAACCGTGGCTTGTCTGTGATTGGCTCGTTACGAGAGCTTGTCCCGCCCCCTGAGCTCACACAGGATTTAGTACAGCGGGCTCTTCTGGTTGGATGGTGCATTGAACTAGTAAGTATACGTATGATGTACAAGTGCACTTCAAATAAACTAATTAATGCAATACATGTTTCCTGTTTTTCCTTTTAAAAAATCATTATTCTCCTTTGATTATAGCTCCAGGCTTTTTTCCTCGTAGCTGACGATATTATGGATGGTTCTGTCACTCGAAGAGGACAGCCCTGTTGGTACAAGAAGGTTAGTTTTTAATTTTACTTATTTATCAAGTAATTAAACTTCATTTGAGTGCAATTTGTCACACACATTTTATGTTATATTTAAGGATGGGATTGGTCTTGATGCCATTAATGATGCATTCCTTCTGGAAGCGTCAATCTACAGACTTCTGAGAAAATTCTGCAGAGACCAGCCTTATTATGTTAACCTTCTTGAGCTGTTTACAGAGGTAATACATCTGTTGATTGTACAGTATTGACTATTACACGTGAAGGCCCACACACATCTATATTCAGACCATCGTTTCTGTTACAGACGTCCTTTCAGACAGAGCTCGGTCAGGCTCTGGACCTGATGACTGCTCCTCCGGGTCACATTGACCTCAACAGATTCACTATTGAAAGGTAAAATGAATTTCTATAGCTGAAGCAAACTTTGTGAACAGCCCTGGGGTATCTTATCTGGATTATTTGTTCTTTCAGGTACAGGGCTATTGTAAAGTATAAGACTGCATTCTATTCATTTTATCTGCCAGTGGCTGCAGCTATGTACATGGTGAGTGCTTTAATAAATCAGTTTTTCAGATGATGACTGTGTGCAAGTGACACAGTTCATATGATGTTGAGGACTATCGGAATTGTAAAAACTACATTTTTTCAGGCTGGAATCACTAGTGAAGAGGAGCACAATAATGCCAAACACATACTACTTGAGATGGGAGAGTTCTTTCAGATACAGGTATGTCTTCTATATTTTTATTTTGGTCATATTACTACCATGCACTTGTTGTAACATGTGTCTGTGACAGGATGATTACCTCGACTGTTATGGAGACCCGGCTGTTACTGGGAAGATCGGCACCGACATCCAGGACAACAAGTGCAGCTGGCTGGTGGTGACGGCGCTGGAGGTCATGACCCCGGAGCAGAGAGTACAGTTAGAGGTAGGAAAACAGTTCCTCTTCTTCTTATGATTGCACACACAGATATAAGATGTACATTTAGTAAAAAGATTCATCAACATTCAATATAAAGGTGCACTATGTAACCTTTTAGAAGAGAGAACACCATTTGCCTGTTTATAAAATGTTACTGATTTGTCTAGAAATTTCCACAATATGCCATTAAACTTATTTATCTTGCATTTATTCAATATAGGTGTATTTCTTGCACTAAAACACACTGAAAAATATGCATTGTTATTGTGGGCAGGGTCACTTTTCTACAGTGTTGATCTGTAAATTGTTCAAATCCCCTAGAGAAACAAGCTTATTCACATGATAGAATGATTTTAAAATAGATTTGTTTAATGTCACACCGTGGGACATTCAAGGTAATGCAAAAAGATCTTCATGAATACAACTCCAACATCCCCAGTGGCCAGTGTCATTATCTCTGATCTTGTAAAAGCCTGTAATTTTTCATAGACAGCTCTTGCAGCAACAGTGACTCATTGCTTTTAAAGAACGCTAGCCACAACATACACTCGCATAGTAATACATATATTTTTACATTTCTATCCTTCCTCAGGCGTGTTACGGTCGTCATGATGAAGCCAGCGTGGAAAAGGTCAAGACATTGTACAACACTCTACAAATGCCAGAACTGTATCGCAAATATGAAGACGAGAGCTACCAGCGCCTGCAAAAACTCATTGCCCGCCACGCTGAAAATCTCCCCCATGCGGTCTTTCTGAACTTTGCCAAGAAGATCTACAAGAGAAACAAATGAATAATAGACATTTTCCCTTAGAATGTGCATCAGTATGGATATCGTGTCAAACTTCAGAGGTTACAATATAGGATCACATCTTTCCTAAGGCACAAAGAAGACTAACTTCAAATCTTGGAAGATACGATTTAGGATTTTACATTTTCTATCAGCCTTATGTCATATCAGTATCTGGGCAACAGGCATGTAGTTTGTAATTTATTAAGTGGCAAGAATAGAAGGCATGAGATGAATGATACTACTGGCTACTGTTTTATCAGGAGAAGTTTAATGGCTCACTAACTTATTTTATGCAAGTATATTTTTATATTGCTGTAGTATGTTGACAATTCAGAATAAATAATAAATGACATCACATCCTTTGCGTGTTCATATCCTGTTTATGTAGCAGAAAATAAATCTTATGCCAAACCCTCTCATTATTACAACAATCGTAATGAAATAAAACCAATATTGTTTTTGTTTTCCCTGAAATATTATGCAATAGACAAATTAAATGCAATTCTGTCTTGGATTCATTCCATTAGGATGTTATTACGAAAAGAAAATCATTGAAAAACATTTATTCTAGAATAAGCTGGCACTGCTCCACAGATCTGACCTGGCAGACTTGTCCTGCTGTCACTTTTCTTTAATGTCATACTGTGAAACATTTTGGGCAAAGCAATAACCAAAAGAGTTATACAATGCACCTTTAACAATGATAAACTTATGTCGTATTTAAGTCAAGATTCCACAGAAAACCATATCTCTGAGTGACAATGGGGCAGTAAAGACAACAAAGGAAACTGGATTTAAAGAAGAAGTGTTGTCAGTCAAGCTTAATGCAAGTAAAGTCTACTACAATATGACAGCGTGAAGTGTGATGGATTGCAACATAATGAGCACTCAGCAGCAGACATCCCGTTACATTAGAGGTGTGGTTGATTCAGGGGTGATAGCCTGAATCTGGTTTATAGGCTCTGTCAGGGGAAGGTGGTCTTTGGTGATGGGGCGGGAAAACTCGCGAGAAACGCCGAGAACTGCTCCTCGGGAGGTTCAGGCTGGGTATCTTCGTGCGTCCGACGAGATGGAGAGCTGCATCTTTCTTCACCTTAATCTTCCTGTGAGTATTTTATGATCATTTCTATTTTTATAATTACTTGAAAATGTGTAAATTCACAAATAAACACGCAACGAATCAAAATCTTATCATCTGACTGGGACCCTTTGGTAATTGGGTGTTGTTGGTTATAACATGTAACTGGTTTTGTTAAAATCTAGCATACAAAACGCACAGATGTGAGATTTGTTTTAAAATGTAACAATATAATGGCTAATTTCGGGGCAATTTCGTGGGAGGAAAGGCCTGGTACCGACCGATGCAGCTACTCAGGGACCCCCTCCTCCTCCTCCGCGCTCTCGCATCCTCCCAGTCTCCGCCAGGTCCATATGATCAATAACACACTACATCCAAAGAGGTAAACATGGTGCCAGCTTAATTTGGAGTCGAAAATGAACCTCTGATGTTGTTTTATCAAGGCCCCGTGTAAGCAACATCATTCATATTCAAGTAATGCTGAGAAAATAGCTTGTGAGCGCTAACCTTCAGTGGATGGGATGTTGAAAAGGCAAGCACAGTGCAGCCGTCCGATCATTTCATGCTCCAATTAAAACCGTGCACTGGACACGAGATGTTGTAGAGTATAGCCTGAGACAATTCTTGATAAACCTTGGCCTATCTCTTGTCATTTTACTGGAGTGGCATGGCCAGATGGAGGCAGAGGGACTCTTAAACTCATGAATATCTAAAGCCAAGTGATGCAGAACATAGCAGATGATGGACAAGGACGCACACTGTATTGGCTGCATATAAAGTGACATGTAATTGCATTGTTATTGATTACTTCATTTGACCCTAACCCTATTAGATTAGGCCACAGTCATTTTTGTATATAAAATGTGGGAAATTGAATTAAATTGTTTTCAAATATGTCTGAGTGGCTGCAAATCTCATCTCACAACAGTGGGTCCTAGAGAGAGGAAATGTATATGTATAAAAACTGAAATATTACTGTTACAGAGATTTGGGAATTAGAATATAGACTATTATCTTTAAGAAAAACAGTTTCAAAGGGATTCAAAGCAATGCAATCTTCTAAACAAAGGTATAAAGTGATATTTCTGCACTTTTGTGGTTAAGTCTATATTTACTGTGAGCTCAAAACACATCATCCTATTGGCATGTTTTAGCACATAATATCATGAATATTGTTCTCAGGAAATATTCATTTTTGACAATATTGGACACTTCTAGTGCCAGATTTGAATTCAGAATCGGCTGTGGATGTTCTAGAGAAGGGTACCTGCCTGCTTCATTGTTATCTCCATGTGCCCAGTACTTTAAGGGATGGGTCAATGTAGAGAACAAATTGCTTTCAAATTGAGATTCAGTCATTTTTTATCATCAATTTTATGGTCGGGGTTATTAATTGAGAGGTCTAAAGTGAATCCTCTGTTAGTAAAAGCATGTGGTTTAGAGCAAAGTTCAGAGGAAGAACTAAACTAAAAATAAAGTTCTAAAAGTGTGTTTAGCCATTTTGACTTTGTATTTGAAAAGAAAATCCAAATAGCAAATTGAGATGAAACTATTTTGCCATATTGCCCAGTCCTCCTTATGGAACAAAAAAGATAATACTGTATTTTTTTTGATATGCCTACTTTTATTTTTTGTTTTAACTGAAGCACAAATGAGCACAAATACTTAAACCTAAATAACCCTGCTTTAATGTAAAATCAATAACACAGTGCCTATTCTCTGTGGGTCTCTTTGATGTTACAGGAACTCGGGAATGAAGCCAAGATGTGACCGTCACGGCTTGTCATAGCTCGGGTCCTTCCTGCTTTTACAGCCACTGTTTCTATAGCAACCTGAGGTATCCTTGAATCCTGAAATTCCCACAGAAATGCAGTCCTCCTCTCAGCCTCCGAAACCTCGTCGCTTTGACACCACCAAACGGACTGTACCAAAGTCAAACGCATCCGCCCTGCCCAAGGAAGATAAAAATATGAACACGATTCCAAACCCTGCTGCTCGTCGGGTCACGAAAGCACCTGTCGCTTCACCCCGGACGAGAGCGGGAGCACAGCCTCGCGCTCCTCTGCACCAACCAAAAGCAATCGCACAAAAACCAGCTCCTGCAAACTTCAAAGCTGCTAAACCCAAATCTAAAAGTACACGGATGTCTGCAGCGAACCAACACTCAGCTTCACCTGCTCCTCCGGCGGTCCCATCTCTCCTTCCTCTTGACCCAAATTGCAATGAGCCCAGTTTGCCTTGCCTCTGCTGTGATGGCCGCTCCCCTCAGGACAACAACAGCATGTTCAACCATAACCACAATAATAACAACACCATCTCACTAAGGCAGCAGATGCAACTCCCGGCTCCTCCTGGCCCGTTGTTTCAAAAACAGGAAGAAAATCGAGTGAAGGAGGAAAAACCCAAACCAGCTCCGGAAGAACCACGGAAAGACAACGCTGCTTCTTTAGCTGAAAGTTTGGAAAATAATAATAAAAGTAGTGACGAACTGGAAATTTCAAACAACGCAGCATGCAAAGTCGATGAGGAAGACGATGACGACGACAGCAGTGGCGATATTGATATTGACGAGGAAGAAGAGCCAGATCACTATGGCGATGATGAAGACGACGACGATGATACTTTGGTCCCGTCCTGTTCCGACTGTCCACCCTCTCTCTTGGATTTCTCCCTCACTTCCTCCACCTCCTCGTCCTCCACTTCCATCAGCTCCTGCTCCGATCTGGACTCGGACAGCGCGGATCAATCCTACTCGATGAGCTCGTCCAATGATCAAGATAATCTGTCGTTCATGTTGTCTCCCAAAACGTGCTCCCCTCTCAAAGCTCCCGAATCCAAGCCTCCATCTCGCTCTCCTCCGTCTCTCCCACGTTCGCACAACCCTTTCTACTTATCATCCGCCTCTCCCGCCTCTCCCGATGAAGGATACCCCTCTGCCCTCGACTCCCCAGACTATTTAGGAATAAAAGAGGACTCGGAAATGAACAAATTAAGTTTACTGGACTTCCTAGAATCTGTGGGGGAGTTTGGGAAAATGGAGCGTTTCAGTCAGGTGATCCAAGTAGCACGCTGGGATCTAGAAGGAGAACAACACTGGGATGTGCTTAGAGATCGGATTGATCATTTAGACCGCTTAGAGAAAGTAAACAGGGAGGTAAAACTCGCATACATCGCTAAACTACATGAGAAAGGATTTGATTTGAGTGATTTAGATGAGCAGGATCTGTCTGATATTATGGATGAAATGGGAAATATTGACATTCCCTGGAAGTTGTACAAAAACCCCAAAGGAAAAATGCAAGAATCACAAGAATTTTCCGACGCAGGGGTCGACCTCACTGCTCCGTCAGATTGTGAAGACCCCCTAGCGCCTGATTCTCTCACGCCTTCCCCAATTGAAGCCCCGCCCAAACCGCCAGTCCGCCATGCCAGTGTGACCTCCGACCTCCACACGTACATCAATATAAGCAGGGAGCCCACCCCTGTAGCATCTTCTCCAACCCCGCTGTCCACTTTCTCTCTCCACACCACATCGCCGACTTTTACCACGTTCAGATGCGAGAAATCAACTCCGGTTACGCCCCCGTCTATCCCGCCCTTACCTGCCTCTAAACCTGTCCCGTATCTCACCCTCTACACCGCTCCTTCCCCGACCATCCCCACCCCGACTCCGCCCATCCCTCCTCCTCGCACCCGTCACCTGGCCCGAAAGGAAGCCCAGAGACGCGCCGCTCTCCTGGCCGAACAGGAAAAATCGCCCGACTCCTTACCTCCGCCCACGACTCGTCCCCCTCCTCTACCTCCTCCTCCTGTTATTTCCGTATCCTCTTCGTCTCCCCCAGCGATCCCGCCTCCACCAGCTCTCCCTCCTCCCCCCTCCTTCCACGCGCTGGACGTAGAGATCCGGAAATTACTGATGCTTGCCGGTTTGACCCAAGCAGAGCTCCTCAAAATCAGTCCAGAGCTCGGTAACTGTGTTGGAGGGTTAGAGGAAGAAGCAGATGATGACAGTGTTATGTCTAGATGTGACTACACGATAGAAGATAGAGAAGATGACAAGCAATCTGACAATGGGCTTATTGATAGTTTGTGCTACAGAAGTATATTAGAAGGAGAATCTGAAGATAACGAAAAGAAAGAGGAGAGGAAGGAAAACCAAAAGACAACATCCTTTAGTGAAATGGCGAGAAGACGAAGGAGGAACACTGCTTACATGTGTGCCCCGTATTACAGCACCGGTTTGAGCAATACAAGTAATTCAAAAGAAGATGACTATGAAATGATATTACATTACGCATCCCAGAGACCGAGTTCACCTCCACCTCCTCCCCCACCGCGACCTTTACCCCCTATACCCTCATGTGCCCCTCCGAAAATCAGCACCCTTCCAGCCAACTCCACTAAACCAGAGCGTTTTGATTGGCTAATTGCGTTCACGCCAGAAACAGATGCCCCATCCAAAGCTCCTCACTTTGAAATGAGAAAACGAACAGTGGAGACCCCAAAGAAATCTAGTTCTTCGTCACTGGAGTCGACATCAACAGGATCTGCTCCCAAAACCACAACGTTTAAAGAGCTTCGAAATCGCAAGTCAAGCTCACTGCCAACTAAAGTTATCACAGCTCCAGAGCCTGATCCCAATATCATAACACCAGATCCAGACTTACTGTACAATCTGAAGTGGAGGAGGGACAAAGCAGGAGATGGGACCCAGTGGGAGTACACATCCCAAGCACAGGCCCTCTTCATGCAGCCCCCTCCCGCGCTCACCTCCATGGCTGCACTACAGGAAATGCTGCAAAGAGCTGAAGAGGAGAATGGCAAGTCGGAATTGTGTCCATCAGAGAATAAGCTGGGATACTCGGTCAGTGACGGCAGCCTGTGGAACCTGGGGGCACAGTGGGAGCGTGAAGAATACAAGATGGAGGAGGAGAGGAAAGAAGGAGGAGGAGAGGTGGAGGTGAGAGGCCAAGCGGACGGGGAAAGAATCACAGAATTGAGAACATCAGGTGAGTATAAGAACTGTGTTATAATTCTGATTGCACATTTTCATCGTTCAGCATCACTCTTTGTAAGCCGTCCACAGTCAGACAAAACAAAATAGACAAAATGACATCACTGTCAATCAATAAACCATCAAACAGACTTTACAAACACCCAAATACAGACAAAAAGAGCCCCATATCAAATATAAAGTCACAAACATAATAAAGAAAGAAAAGAAACAGCAACCTATGAACAAATAAGAGTCATGTAAGTCAAAGTCATATTAAAAGGACAATAATGATTATAATTGAAATCATGATTATCTGAAACAATAATTAATGTACTGTCAATCTGTCACACAAGTATAATTGTCATTTTTAGCATGATATACATTTTTAAAGACAAATGAAGACTAGACTAGACTTGACTAGGAACATTGCTGAAGGTTTTTAGGGGCAGAACTAATAAAAACTAAATTAAATCAGTTATTTTGTATTTAAGTATGCACCTTTTGAAGCACAATATATTGGTATAGAGATATATTGTGATATACAATAATATTGAAACTACTTTTGGTTTCTGACACAGTCACAATGAAGCAAGATAATCCTAGTAAACATTTCTAAATAAACAGTATCATTCAAAAGGCCTGAGCTCCCAAATTTCCACATTAACCAAAAATATTGTTCCAGCTTTCATATGTTGATATAGTAATTACTGTGGCAGTCCTAATGCCTTGTTACTGGAACAATAATTGTAATCACAATTCAAATTTGATTTCACAACGAAGCAAGATCATCCTGATAAACATTTCTAAATAAACAATATCATTCAAAAGACCTGCACTGCACCATGTAAATACTATAATGAACCCATAATTAGCCGTAGAAGTTAGTTATTCAACCTTCTACAGCTCAAATCTTGTTGTATTAGAACAAAAATATCCCAAATTTCCACACTTAAACCAAAAAAATGTGTGTACGATAAATATTGTGCCCTAAAATATACTGTTCCAGCTTTCATATATTGAACAATAAGTCGATATAGTAATTACTGTGGCAGTCCTAATGTCTTGTTACTGGAGCAATAATTGTAATCACGATTCAAATTTGATTTCACAATGAAGCAAGATAATCCTTGTAAACATTTCTAAATAGACAATATAATTCAAAAGGCTTGAGCTGCACCAAGTAAATACCAGAATGAACCCATAATTAGCCATAGAAGTTAATTATTCAACCTTCTACCATTCAGATCTTGTTGTATTAGAACAAATATATCCCAAATGTCCACACTTTAACAACGAAAATGTACACACGATAAATATTGTGCCCCAAAATATACTGTTCCAGCTTTCAGATATTGAACAATAAGTCGATATAGTAATTACTGTGGCAGGCCTAATGCCTTGTTACTGGAGCAATAATTGTAATCATGATTCAAATTTGATTTCAAAATGAAGCAATATGATCCCAGTAAACATTTCTAAATAGACAATATCATTCAAAAAGCCTGAGCTGCACCAAGTAAACAGCAGAATGAACCCATAATTAGAAATATAAGTTAGACATTCAGCCTTCTACAGCTCAGATCTTGCTGTATTAGAACAAAAATATCTCAAATGTCCACACTTTAACAAAGAAAATGTACACACCAAAATATATTACAGATACAGATATTGAACAATAAGTCGATATAGTAATTACTGTGGCCGGCCCAGTGCCTTGTTACTGGAGCAATGATTATAATCACGATTCAAATTTGATTTATCGCACTGCCCTAAAGAAATATTAACAAAAGTAGAACTATATTTCATTATCTTTTTTTATAGCAATCTCTATCACAGCTTGGTTATAACGCAAAAACCTCAGGTGGCTTTTTAAACGACGCACTTGGATAAAGCCGTAAAACAAAATAGTTTCCATGAAAACACATATTATTATAGTTATTCAGTTTTACTCTGGGAAATACAGTTTATATTGGACAAGGGAGCAACAAAGACGTGGGCTGTTGTGAGTCAGTGGATGATGCACCATGATGGCTCACTGATGATGAGCAGACATTTGTTCGGATACAGACTGGAGCAGCAGCCACAGTATTGGAGAGAATAGAAAGTGATGGATAACGTGAAGAGAGATAGAGTGTAATATGAGAGGCCAGTTTGGGAACCTGCCAGTGAATCATTATTGCTATAGAGGGGGGGCAGGCATTGACTATAAGCAAATTGTTGTTTTTCGATTAGGAAATGAGAATAGAAAATGGAAATAAACATGATAAAAATGTAAGTAAAAACAGTAATGTAATCTTTCAAAGGTAACAGTCACTTTTTTTTTGCAGTACTTGAACCTCAGCCCAGACATTTTAGATACATTTCTGATTTCTAATTGCAAACATATGACCTGATTATTGATATCAATGTGGATAATCCTTCAAAACTATCAAGATGAGCCATTACCATTGTTACTGAGAGAAATAAGGGAAATACTACCAGCTGTACATTGAAATTCATGCTCACTCAATACTCAAACAAACAATCTTTCTAAAATTTCACTGCTCTATAGTACTATTTGTCTAGTCTCGTAGGTGTATGCCCTTTTACAGTCGCTCCCCCCTCACCCTCACCCCGCCCTTGTTCCCCAGAGCAGCGAGATCAAGTTACTTTGCTCTTAGTGCTGCAGCTGGCAACCTAGAGACCAAGGATATACATTTGTCAACATGTCTTATTATTGGACAGTTCGGTTATTATTATTTCTTTCCAAATGTAATGGCAACTAAGCTTGTCATGATAACAAATGTAGATGTGCAATATTCAGTTTCAGACAATACCACAACAAACAAGAATATTGACATAATCGATATAAAGCAGGATTATCCCAGTAAACCTTTATCTTAACAAATCTAAAACATGACTTGCAAAAATGTCCATAGCTCGATGAAATATTTATTAGTGAATTAGTATAGATTTGTTAAAGGTGTACTATATAACTTTTCTGGTTGAAGGAGCCCATGCTTGTCTCCATGATGTATGTTTGTGTTTCAATGCATGTTTTTTAGAATCTAATGTTATGACATTGAATATTCCAGGCAAAGTATTAACTATGTATAAGAAAAGTTACACAGTGCACCTTTTAAATAAATAATTAGTCCAAAAATATTAGTCATCTCTCCTTTATGGATATAGAAGTGATAGTGAAAGAATGATTCACCTGTGCACTTGCATGTGTGTGCCTTTAAAAGCCAAAGGGGTGGATCTTTGTGTCAAGGCCAATTGCGGCAAACCTCTGAAGTGACAACAGGAAGTAACATGTACTGGTGTAGTCCTTCATAGTGCTCCAAAACTTACTCAGGTACGGACACATTTTAGCTCTTTTTTAATACATTTTAGAAACTATAGGGGAGTGAGAAGAGCTGCCTGCCTGTCCAGTGAATAGTTCTTGGCTTGTGTTAAAGACTGAAGCAATGATTGAGCAAAAATCCACTCTGTGACTGACTCAGCATTACCTTGAACTGTAGCTCTAGTGCTGCACTGAGAAAAGGAAGGCAACGTTTAGGCCAAAGAAAATAAATGAAAGAAATATGTAGACAATCAGAACTGAAAGGCCGATCCAGGGTTGCGGATGAATACTGCAGCAAAGTACTGCAGAGTATGAGAGAGGTTTTAAGAGGATAAATTAATTAATCATAGCACAGTTTAGTCATAGTTGAAATGATGATTCGCATAAACAAGTCTTATGTACAGTTATGTTAAAATGTAAAAGTAGTATAGGCTTATTACCTTTTTATTAGTAGTGTTTAGATTCTTGTTTTAAAGTAGAATGGCTTTGCTCCAGTCATATCATTCATAACAACATTTAAAGGAACTGTATGTCCGTACTCTTTTAGTTTTAAAAAGGGAATCACAATCACAAACTAGCCTGGGTTGCCAGTTCTTAACATGTATTTCTCATTTTCCAGTAAAAGGACAGGCCGTGTCTTGTGTGTCTGGCCATCTTAGACTTAGATTTAGATTTTAGACTTAGACAAACTTTATTGATCCACAAGGGAAATGATTTGGACATTTCCATCTCCAGAATTCACTCGCTGAGCTGCAGAATCTGGGCTTTAGGTAGTGAAGACTCAGATCAGAGAGGGATATTTTAGGTTTAAACCGGCTGGATTCATGCAATCATGTGAGGCTCATTCTGCTTTCTGATTGAATAATTGTCTTATACGAATATTTCTTATCTCAAGTTTAATACAGTTTGTAAGTTGCACTATCCTTTAATGTATTTTTTAACATAGCTTTTGATTTAGTATAATGTACTGTATAGGACTTAAATATTCTATGTATTCTGGGGACTTCTTTTGTAACAATAACCAAAATATTGTGATATCGTATTGTTAAAAGTCTCTCAATAATATCGTGGACCATCACAATATATCGAATCACAAGTTTCTTTGCTTAAATTCATTGTTACGGTGCAACAATATCTAAAAAAACAGAGGGAACTACATTGACCATGATCCTTTGCTCTGTTTTGGTGCAAACTACATGAAGAAATAGCAGTTCTAAGCACTTTTAAATCTTAGTTCTTTGAATTATCAAGGCATTTTAAGAGGAAAAAGTAGCATATTCACATTTTTGTTCACCTCCACAAAATATCGCAATAAATATATCGTACTGTGAGATTGGGATATCATTACATTCCTATTCTTTACCATTTTCTCAGCACAATACTGCATTGAGTTCCATACTCTGTCAATGTTTAACTGTTTTATTATAGTGTTATAAATTACAGCACTGCTTATGTACATTCATACTAACATTTTTGCATCTTTTTTCTCCCCCTTTTTCCATTCATGTGACAAATCCTTATTTCTCTCACCCATCCATCCTAATTCAATGTGTATTCTCTCCATGACTCCGATCTGTGTGTTTATCCTGCCTGTTCGCTTGCTTTTGTCCTTTCCCCTGCTTTGTACAAATTTTCTTTTATTCAAATTTGCAGCTTCGTCACCCCCTCCCGCGCCCCTCCCTTGCTCTTCCCCTCCCTACTTCCTCCACTCTGTTGACCAATCCCTCTATCCTAACTCCGGTAACCCCTTTTTGGATCCCAGACCTCGCAATCCCGTAGGACGAACAGCGCCGTTAAATCCGCATATGGGTCCAGATTGTGTTTACAGACATGATATCGGCAGTGACACAAGTTCTGAATACCTGAGAGATTTTGGCATAGATTCAATTCGTGATTATAGGGATTACGAGCGAGAAAATGCACAACTGGCGTACAAACAGATTCATGGTGCGAAATCTGTTGAATCCGCCAGTAATGTGGACTCATTGTATGGCAGTAATTCAGTCAAACAGAGCACAGCTGGCACGCCAACTTGCCCAACCCCGTACAAGAATATTGATGTTATTATGCGCTACAACAACTCAAGTGAATTTGAAAAACCTCAGCTTTCACATCGAGATAAGGCTTTTAAAGAGCTACCGCCTCTTCCAGCCTTTTACCTGTACCACCCTAAAAACTGCCCCCTCCACCGCGGCGCCCCTCCTCGTTTGTCGCCCATAGGTGCCCTCTCCCCGCCTCAGCGTTCCGGAGTACCACCACAGTCAGGTCTAAACTCTCCGCTGTTCCCACGCTCGCACACCCTCCCCGCCCTGGCTGCCCCCCTCTACTACCCCAATCTGTACCCACCCCTCCCGCCCCGGGCACCCCCATTACCCCCCAAACTCTACCAGGAGCAGTCACGTGTGGCGAGTAAGACTTCTCTCTCTTTATTCTCCTCCTCTATAACTCTTTCTTGGTCAGACATCTTGTGCATGTGTGTCTTGTCTTTTCCTTGATGTCTCCTGTAGATAATGATGGTTATAATGTCAGCCATGGTTAAAGAATTTGCAGCTTTGAAAGAAAGATAAAGAGAATAGTTTTCAGATTACAAACTACTTCTTACTGGTTATCAAATGTCAGATTCTGCCCTTTCAACTCTGCAAAAACTTTGATAACAGCCACATTTATCCCTGTACCAAAGTGTCTTTTGTCTACTGTTGTGTCAGTCATCCTTTTCGTGTGTCATCCACGTGTCAGTCACATTTTGGTACCTCATTATTGCATGTTTTTTTTTTTTTTTATCCATAGCTACATGTGCAAGAGGTGAGCATTGTTTTGAATTTAAATATCAAGTATATCGTATATGATAAAAAGTAATAGAATCTGTATAATAGAAAAACGGGAAATGCTTTTGTTGTAACCAAATGAGGGTATGAAAGTAATATTTCTTGACTTTTGTGTGTAATTTCACATTTGTCTGATACTTAACTAATACATTTAATGGCCCCTGATCTGTTATAATGTTGTTTCCTCATCAATAACATACATGAAGATGTGTTTTGTTTCATTCACTCATGTTTAACACATAAACTCTGAGGCTGAGTTTTTTTTAAAGACAGAAAACACTCATTTCCACTTTGTGATGTCATGTAGTAATACAGGACGTGCCCCACTATGTTCCATACACCTTCACTAGAATTATTTGGATGATTTCAGCTCTACCGAACAAAAGGTAAACGGTAGATGATAACTTGAAGACTACAGCTTCATAACATCACAAGATGGAACAGAGCATTTTGAGGTTTGGGGATGTAAACAGACTAATTATAAAGAGTTACTCAAACATGTGTGAATGAAACAAAACATTTTTTACATTCTAACATGGCTTCAAGCTCACAAGAGTTATTTTTGTGTAATATAGGATCTTTAAAGGCATGTTATTACACATTTCTCACAGATAGTCAAAATATTGTCTGAGTAATATTACTGGGATGCTCCGAAAAAATATCAAGATATAATTTTGTCAGTATTGCCCACCTCTTGTATGTGCCATAGACAACTGTTTTGACACGTTTTATGCCAGCATTTATATAACAGCGTTATATAAATCTGTTGGTTTAACTCAAGTGTTGCCATATTTATTTTAACTCTCCCCAAACCCATGTTGTGTTTAAGTTTGTTGTACGCTCACAGAAAACGTTCCAGTTTCCAGATGTGCAGTCTACAATTTAAAATGCTACTCCTGTGTATGTCATGTTACCATCTGCTAAGTAGTGCTTCATTGCTTAACTGCGTTTCTAAACAGTCCTGGTATTATTGTGTTGTCATTGTGCTGATCCAGTTTAATTACCCTATTGACGGAGACTGTTTTGTTGGTCAGCTGTCCGCAGTGTGTCATTCGCTGGCCACAGAGCAGAGCCGTGGATGGACCATGATGTCAGAGCTCCAGTGAGAGGGCTGGGCCTGTCCCCTCAGACCCTACAGGAGAAGAGAGGTACTGCAGGCTCTGCTCTTCCGCTGTTCGATCACCTTATTGCTTTACACGCTGGAAATGGTAAATGTGAACTGTTGTTTTTCTCCTTTAGCTTTGGTCAGCGCCGTTAGTGTGGCAGTGGAAGCCATCTTGGCACAATTTAGCACTTCTCGGACCATTGTGCAGAAGGTGAGTCTGTTAGTCATCAGTCAAAATGTCACTGTTATATAGATTATACTTGTCTATAGACTCTAGACTCACAAGGGAAATTACCTGGTCATCTTTAATTCAGATACCTTGAAAAACATCTCTCCATAGATCTGACCTGTAACTTGGCCTAGTGGAGCCACCTGTCTCCATGGAGATAGTTTGGAGAAGTTTAATGTCATACTGTTGAATATTCTTGACAAAGTGATGACATTTCCAATGGAGACAAGCATGTGGTGAATGCTCTTTCAGAAAAGTTACACAGTATAGATTTAAGTTATTATACAGACTAGGGATGTAATAACCGAAATATATCGTGATATCGCATCATCAAAGTTCTCACAATAATATCATGGACCATCACAGTATATCGAATCACAATTCTCTTTGCTTAAATTAAGAGTTATGGTGCAGTAATAGCTAAAAAAGACAGAGGGAACTACATAGACCATTTGCTCCATTTCAGTGAAGACTACCAAGAAGAAATAACAGTTCTAAACACTTTTAAGTCTTAATTCTTTGGATTAAGTCTTGTCAAGGCATTTTAAGAGGAAAAAGTCAAATATTAACAGTTTTGTAAGCCTCAACAAAATACCGCAATAAATATCGTGCCATGAGATGTATATTGTGAAAATATTGTACAGAGAGATTTGGATATTGTTACATCCATAATCGTGAGGCTCCCCACCATATCGTGAGCTTTCCCATGATATCACAGTAAATATCGTACCATGAGGTTCATACCGTGACGATATCGTATCGTGAGACTTGGAAATCGTTACACCCCTAATACAAACTCAATAGCCGTTCATTTTCATTTGCATTACTGAGCAGTTTTTTTCTCTCTCTCTTTCTTTTTCATCAGGCGTTATCTGGAGACAGCACTGTAAATCCGTCTCTGGGCCGCCTGGTGCTGCAGTGCCTGTGCCCCGCCCTGCACAGCCTGCTGACGGACGGCCTCAGACCCCATCAAAGTGACCTCATCGCAGGCAGGAGGCCAAACAACGCCTGGGGTTTGATCCAAGCCTCCACACGGCCAGGTACACACATGCTCCAGCAGTAATGAGCCTTAAGAGATTCATCGCACTGTGGACTTATTAGTAATGCATTATAATGTTATTTATACATTATTAAAGAGATTTCTGCTCTCAGTGGTAACAGTGAGTACCTTGAAATGGTCAGTAAAGTGAGAGAACTAAATTATTAAGCTACGAATGAGATCAGATTTTTTGTGTGTTTACATACACCTGTGGACATTTTAATTATTAGAGTTTCTGAGCAAAGGCTGCCACACATTTCTGGAGAATTTGCCCAATTTAGGACCTGATTTGCTTCTCTCCCAATTTCAGGAGGCGTGACGCAATTTAGGGTCCTTGTATGCTATTTTTAATCCACTGCTCTTCTCATTTGTGTGGTGTCAGTGTGACTCTGAGCCCTTCTGTCCTATTGTAGCCACAAAACGTCACCGCTACTGCACCAGCCAGTAAAACAGAGCATCAGGGGCAGATGGAGTGACACAGAGCCGCAAGTTACAAACTCAGGAGACAGCGAAAACAATGATGTGACTTTATTACAATTGTTAGTAAAGTTGTACAACGCTCTTTTGGACACTTGAAAGTGAGTTATTTCACTCTAGACAGGAAACAGTTAACATAAGGTGCGCTCAAAACTTTTAACTTGTGGTGTGTGGTCTCTTCACTGCCATATTCAGATTCAGATATCCTACTACAGTCTCATAATCTCATGATTCTTCTCATGTCTATGGTCTGTGCTTTTTGCGGCACGGCAAAAATGATTTAAGTCTGAAAAATCCTGTAGAATGTGCTGGACTTACCTGTTGTATTTGGAAGACAAAGTGCAATGTTTTCAATCTTTAACATTTTACCATTCATTTTGTCTTTGCCTCACAGTCCTTTTTGCACAAAATTTCCTTGTCAAAACCTGCAGAGGTGTGAACAATCAGAAAGAAATCTGGTGTAACATTACATGATCAGATTTTTGGTGAGCAAGTGAAACATAGCCACTGATTCTTGGAGTTAGATTTTTCTCACACATCAATCAATGCACCGTTGAGGATAAAGTAAACAGGAAACAGATATTGATTTGTCTACCAAAGAATGAGTTTTAGAAATGATTTCCTGTTTGCTGCTTTAGTTCTTCTCATCTCAAAATCTGCTTCTCCCTCCCTTCATTTCTCCAGGCTCGAAAACACAAGCTCTTCATAACCTACAAACTCGAGTTGGAGATCTGCCTCAGCTCAAGCAGAGCAAACATCGCTTCAATGCATTTATCCTTGGCCTACTTAAGTAAGTCCTGTACATCTGCTGCTCCCTAGTATATATATGTAAGATATACATGCTTCTGTGGCTCTAAATGTTCCTTTTTGTATTACAGCATCAAGCACCTAGATTTTTGGCTGTCTCATCTTCACACTAGCAGTGGTAAGTTGTTCATTTTCTTGCTGTTTTATTTCTGGTAATTAAATGTAACTTTTAGGATCCAGCAGCTGCTTGTCTCCAAGAGTAGTTATTGCACTGCCGGGAAAGTGCCACATTATGACATTAAACTTATCCATCTCCATGGAGACAAGCAGGCAACACCACCAGGCCAGATCTGTAGAGAAACCTTTGGTAAAAATGCGTGTATTTCAAGGTATTTTTGAGCAGTAAATCACTGAGTAAACACAATATGGATGAGATTAGTGCCATATTGTGGCAAATCCCAAAAAAGCAACAACATCTTCATACAGACATACAAGAATTAGTCCACTACAGTTAGGGTCAAAAAGATAATTTTGTAGTTCTTCTTAATATTATCTAGTGACATGATGACTAAAGGCAATATGTATTGACTGAATATATGTTAATTCTGAAGTGTCTGGTCATGATTTATTAAGGCTATTTAAAGTGCAGTTACTACAAAGTGGTACCAATATTTTCATAAACGTTTGCTTTTTCCAGATGTATTGGAGACATATTATCACCCGTCATCGTTCATGCGCCTGTCTTTGAGTGCTTGTCACGCCCAGTTTGAGGAACTGCTTTTAGTGCTTCAGCCGCTGAGCCTGCTGACCTTTAACCTTGATCTGCTCTTCCAACACCACCACGTAGACCCCCACAACCTCAAGACCCCCAGTGCAGCAGGACAGGATGCAGCGCCACATGTCTCAAATCAAACCAGTGAGACGAAGCAATGTGAGGAGAAATACATGGAGTCGCTCTCTGAAGAAGATATTCAAAGTGGAGAATGCAGACACGACACCACGTCCCATCCAAACACCGAAGACAATAGTACGACAAAGGAGGAGAGTTTATTGGAGACCAGTCCTCAGCTGCGGTGGGTGAAGGAAAAGGAAATCAGCTCTCTACCGCCCCCTAACATCGAAGAGGACAGTCTGGCACAACAGGCTGGACAGGTACAAACATCTCTACATATTGTTTGGTGTCAAATGGCATCATCAAGTACTATGAGCCAATATTATTTAATTTCTATTTAATTTTTGTTGTAATACAGTAAGTTCTTGGGTCTGTTATGAATAATGCTGAATAATGCTTTGTAAAGCGTCTTTGGGGACAGAAAATGTGTGTGAAAAGCGCTATATAAATAAAGACTTACTTACTTACTATTAAATAGTACAAATTATCAGGTTTAACATTTGTGAATTTACTTTTGGGATTTTTCTTGACAAAGTACAATGTTATCAAAAGGAAAAAGTGGATTTTGCCCTGAATATCATCACACTGTAGAATCTGAAAACCACCAGTTGCTGTTTATCTTATTTTATTTCAAATTAATTTGTGTGAGAGATGACTGACCAACAGAATGTTAGAAAATCAAGCAATAGCAGACAGGCTGATATTTTATGCTCATCAAATATGCATTACTATGGCACTGTTATGGCCTAAATTAGAAAGGTCAACATAATCTAATAATGTATGTCTGAAAATATTCTCTAGAGAGTATATATTGCTTGTTATTGTGTGGTTAAATATGCATTGTCTCCATAGACATGTTATAGCTTTGCCTGGTAATGTTCCACAGTGTGGCATTATTAAATTACAAGTCTCTTTGCTTAAGTTAAGAGTTATGGTGCAGTAATAGCTAAAAAAGACAGAGGGAACTACATAGACCATGATCCTTTGCTCCATTTCAGTGAAGACTACCTAGAAGAAATAACAGTTCTAAACACTTTTAAGTCTTAATTCTTTGGATTAAGTCTTGTCAAGGCATTTTAAGAGGAAAAAGTCGAATATTAACAGTTTTGTTAGCCTCAACAAAATATCGCAATAAATATCGTGCTATGAGATGTATATTGTGAAAATATTGTACAGAGAGATTTGGATATTGTTACATCCATAATCGTGAGATATGCATTGTCTCCATAGGGATGTTATTAGCTTTGCCTGGTAATGTTCCACAGTATGGCATTATTAAATTACAAGTGGTTTACAGCAACAAATTCTTACAGTCATCTTAACTTTCCACAAACTTGACTTGTAAGATGGTTTCTGGTAACCATCCCTCACATTCTATAATGTTCAAAATGTATATTGTATAAATCTATAAATTTATTTTAATAGCCATGAAGTGAAGTCAAGTAGGTGACAGACCCTTTATCAGAAAAGTCACATAGGGTACCTTTTAAAATAATCTGAAAATCTGTTTGCAGGTGATCCAGCAGGGATGGGAGGTGATGGTTCGCTGGGGAGGTCGTCTTAGTCAGAACTTGTCTGAGATGAGTGCGGCTGCAGGGAAGAAGGAGGAGCAAAAGACCGAACATCTCCAGGCTCACAGTGACTTTGTCCCGGTCAGCAGCAGCAGCAGCGGTGGTGCTGGGATACAGATGCTCTGGGGTCTGGACCGCCTCTTTGGGGCCCCGAAATCATCAACCAGTCCTGGTTCTCACCCTGCACCAACCAGGTTTGTGCAATTAGATGTGGAGTCAGAGTGTTTTCACACTTGTTGTAATTTGGTCCTAAACTGAGCTCACTTAAGTCCTGATGTGGACTTGGGTTGATCCTGTTCTTGTCCTGATTTAGTCCCAGTGTTGTTGTGGTGAATGTGCAAGTGTGAACGCACAGTTAAGTACATGTATTTCCAGTGTAACTGTTACCCACATAGTTATATGAGCTATTAAGTATTTGATTAAAAGACTACTCAAGTATGGAGTAAGTTTTTTGTGCATAAAGTGTGATATATGTATTGCTGCAATAGGACAGACATTCTAGTTCTACTGTTCAAAAGAAGAAGAAAATTATGAAAAGGTAATAACTGCATACAATTTGTAAATTTTTATCTTAATTTTTGAAGATTTTTCCACTGATTTTTCCAAGTAAATATTTGGTGTGGACAAATGCTACATTATTGTACAGTTATTCCAGATAGTGTATGTATCACAGTACATTTCACACCACATCTGTTAAGGTTTAACTCTAATACTGATTTCTCTGTTATGTGTAGGCGGCCCTCTCAGTGGTTGGCTCCTGGTGTGAGTGCGCTGACCAGGATGGTGAGCAGCAGCACTGCTCCCATGTTAAAGAAAGTGTCTGAACCCAAAGAGGAAACTTCACCAGAAACACAGGAGGAGGCTGAAGCGGTAGAGATGAAGGACCAACCCAGACCACTCAGGTACAAACAGCTACAGTACACTACTCGAATGAAGGGAGAGTGGATAGGTAAAACTAACGCTGGCTAAAGCAATCGTCCAAATCAGCAAATGGCATGATGATTGATTTAGGAATTTGATTTTCACCCAATGTGCCTGAGAAGTACTGCCAAGTGTGCCTTGAAAAAAGCTCAATTGAATTCATTATGGGTTTGATTTAATAATTTACCATTTTGGTGTGTAAATGAGACTTAATAAAGCAAAATAATCACCACTGCAACCAAAACAGAGCCATGCACAATATTTGCAATATTACATATACCAGTTTGTCAGGGTTAGAGTTGTGATTTGGTAATATTTTGGCAGGCAGTGATGTCCTGAAAAATGTGTTTTAACTCAAAAACGGTTGAATGACAAATTTAGGAACTGCTGTGATCATGCACTGGCTTTATAGAGAGCCTTTTATGACACTAAAACGCTTTGCAGAAATGGAAGTAAGGCTGCTACTCTACATCATCTGCCCATCCGACCATCACCAATCACTCACACTAAATTCATACCAGGCATGATGGGTGAAGTGTCTTGCCTGAGACTCAACAGCAGTATGCACTAGAGTGACTAGACTCGAGCTACAGCTTCCCCAGTGTAATTTCCTTTGTAGAAAACACAATATCCTCGATAAACATGATTGCTTTATTAGTTTAGTTGTGGGTATTTTAGTGTTTGTTCAAATGCTCCTGGATGTTTTAAATTTGCACTGCAGACTCCACCTCAGTTTAGAAATTCATTACAACACCAACCCGTTTATTGCAAAACCAATCATTGTTTGTACCAAAGAAAATGCAATATTTCTCTAAACCCTTCAGCCATACATCTAACATCTCCATTAGACCAGTTATTTCAAGGTACAATTATTTTATTAAAGGGCCTGTATTACTCTATTTTCTGATTTTGTTATGTTGTTTCCTCACCTAAAACATACCTGGAGTGGTGTTTTGTTTCATTTGCACATGTTTAACACACAAATCCTGCATATTTAGACTGAGTTCTTCTACTTAAAACAGTCTATTCCACCTTGTGATATAATGCGGTAATACAAGAAATGCTCCACTGTGTTTTTAAACTCCATACACTGTCACTGTAGTGTTAACTGGATCATTTCAGTCCTGGAATTGCCAATCTCTCCTGAAATAAAAGTAAAGGGTAGCTGCTAACAAGGTGGAACAGAGCAGAGATGTAGACATACCACAGATAACCGATGTGTGAATGAAATAAAACACAGCTCCAGGTATGTTTTTGAGGAGGTAATGGCATTATAATATGGCTTAAAGCTCAAAAGAATCAATTTTGTGTAATACAGGACCTTTAATAGTCTCAAATGTTTTTGCTGTACTCCTCAGGTCAGTGCGAACATTATGTGACCACAGAGGCACTGGCGGCGAGCTCAGCTTCAATAAAGACGAGGAGCTGCAGGTTTTGGGAGGGGTGGACCAAGACTGGATTCGCTGTCGCCGCGGCAACACGGAGGGACTGGTGCCCATCGGCTACACCTCTCTGATCATGTGACTGAACAACTGCTGCACTTAAACAATAATAAGAAACAAAAGACTTTATTTTAGGTGAAGATTGAGCGGTTCATATGAGACCCACTATGGAGGATATGGAAACACCAGCTTGGTTGGAGTTTGAGTTGAGTGCATCACACCATCTGTTCAAAGTTTATGCGCGTCAAGAACTGGCTGCAGCCCGATCTCCCATTACAAACATATGGGGTTTTTCTATCACAATCCATCCAGTTTGGTCACATTAATCTAATGGGTTTTAGCAGTACGGGAGCGGCAGATGGTGCGAAATGATCACTCGAGTTGAATTCCTTCCATATCACACTGGAAGATATTATCCTTCTTTAGTATCAGGCTCCCTCAGATCACAGCCTTTTGGGAGTCAAAATAATACAAATAACTCACGCCTGAAATAGTGAGTCTTTCCTTTGTAAACTACTATGAAATCTAGCGTATTGTTGATGTGTTGATCAATGTTATCTTGACCTCCCAAGTCAGAGGCTGCGTTCACACTTGCTCTGGTTTGGTTCTGGTTGGATCCTGGTTTAGTCCTGATGTAGACTTGGTTCGCTCTTGTTCTCCCAGTACTGGATTAGCCCCGATCTTGTCAAGGTTTAGCCCCAGTTTAGTTCCAGTTTTGAAAGTGTGAACGCAGACATTTGTGACCTCTTGATTCCATTGCCTGGTTCATGTGTGTTTGACCTGTATTTGACTGTATAAAGAAATATACATATTATATAGAATATACATAGATATACAGTATAAGTACAAAAAACATTATTTACTAAGATAGTCAGAAAGCAGCTTAAAATTGCAATTATGTTAAAGGTACATTGTGCAGCTTTTCTGGTGAAGTGCCCGTGATTTGCTTGCCTCCGTGGAGATGTTGTTGCTGTGCCTGGAATGTTCCACAGTTTGACATTAAACTATTTCACTTTATTGAGACAAGCAAGTGATGCAACTAGGCCAAGACACAGGTTAGATCTGTGGAGAGTCGAGCCCACTCACAATAATAATGCATGTTTTTCAAGACGACTTCGTTTGCACTATAACACCTGTAAAATTGCAACTTGGATAGATAAATATAATGCCAAACTGTGGAAAATTCCAAGAAAATTAACTAAATTAACATCTCCATGGCACTCCCTCCATCAGAAAAGCGACACAGTGCACTTTTAAGTTAGTTGTTTTATCTGCAACTTTACAAGTGAATTATATTGACGTATGGAAACATTTATCGTCCATCTTGTACGCCATCATACCATATTATTAGATTTTGCCTCATAACTTCCACTGTATGCTTTGTAATGTGCCCGAGTGCTTTGAATGAATGCCAGACACATAAAAAAGAGATCTACCCTCCCACGTAGGAACCAACAGCAATCTGTAGCCAATCATTCTACCCTCATGTCCAACGTGGTTTAAATTTATGCCCCATAAAACTCTACTTGCTCTTGTTAAACACTATATAAAGTTGAACAGAGTAGGATCGCCCTCATATGGTTGTTTGTGCTGTGCGAAGTCTGTAACATTGTCGGCTGACTACAGTATATCCTCATTTTCCTCCATCTTTGCTTCGTTATCATAGTTCGTAATGCTGGTGATCTGGTGGATGTGATGTACTGAGTCTAGTGTGAACTACAACTCATGTATATATTGCGTTAAAGCGCGTCAAAGCCCTACTGCGGAACATTTCACTCAATAAATACGCTTTGGTTTTTGTTTGTTTTTGCTTTTTTTTTTAACATCAGAAAGCATACGTTCTTATTCTGAGCGGGCTTGCCTATCCACAGACTTGACTCGCTATCTGCTCGTCTCCATGGAGATGCTACTGCTTTGGTTTAAGGCACCGCTGATACCATAAAATAACGTGTCCAGAAATTGCAACGTCATCGTGAAGTTGCGTAATAGGAATGGTTTGGTATCAGCAACTTGCAAGAGCTCATTTGATGACCCGTAACCTGAAATGTTCCGCAGTATGACTTTAGCGTGACATTTCTTCCTGATATTACGCCATAAGGACTATGCATATGCACCACGCTTTTGTTTACCCATGTTTTATTTGCATGCATGTTCACACAAACCTACTCAGCCAATGCAGAAATGTCTGTCTAAAACGGCAGGCATAGGAGGACCTCTTTAAGTTATCAGGTTAATAATAAAATGTATTTAAAATCAGGGAAAATTTAAGCTTCTTCAAAGATTCCTCATGTTATGTTGATGTAGCATGAGATTCAGTCAAGTAGCATCCAAACCCTGAGCAGTATAATGAAAAAATGCATCTTCATTGTCATAGAAAGACAAAATAATAGATAGACAGGTAGTTAAGATAAAGCTAAAACCTGAGTTATTTTTGTGTATATTCCAAATGTGAGATATGAAATACAAATGTTAATTTATTGGATGTAATATTTATTGATCTTGGATGAAAGAGTGCTTTAATTTGTTATGTTTTGTGGGGTGAAAGCAGAGATGGGGCTTAGTGCAATGCAGACTGCACACCCTGCACTTTCACTGTGTGCAAGTGTGTGATCAAATGTAAAAATAACTCTTCTCCTTCTCTTTGGTATTGTGCTCCCTGTTATAGCTGTACCAGTTCTCCAGACCCAAAACTATTGCATAAGATTGTATTCCTCTAGTGTTAGTCACCGTCCGCTGCCTGCATGTGCTTGTTTGTAAATACACCCAATAAAACAAGTGAAAACCAAACAAGGCGATGCGTTTAATTTGGACTATGGAAAAGTTGCTGTAATGTTTGATGTTTTTGGTGATAAATATGGGCTAGTAATGGAAATTTTGGACATTTTTTGGGGGGTTAGATCATTTCTTTTACAACTGTGAATGGACCATCCCCTGCGTCACTTCAGGTCTAACTGGACCATGGAGATGTCACTTAAAATAAGATTGATGAGACTTCTATTCACTTTCTTTAACTTCTCTTTGATGGTCTTTGATTCTTTTTTTTTTTTATTTCGAGTTTGTGCCAAGAGAGAAACAATAGTCGTACACATACTGCATATACATTGTAAATAACAGAAACGCACATTTCTCTAAAAAGAGTGAGAAGAAGTAAAAACTTATATGAAGTTTCAGAAATGATGCGGTGTCTTATGTACATTGATCACTGAACTTTACAAATATTTACACACAGTAGAATAAATTTCATACTATGGTTGTGCAAACTAATGATGATAAAGAAGACACAGAAGGTTATCCTTTATAATCGTATCAAAATAAGCAAAATGAGATTGAGAAAAATGTAAGGATTTTTTCTGTTTTTGTTTATTTGTTTATGGTTGAACAAACTAATAATAATGACAAAGAAGGCACAAAATGTATAGTTGATGATCATATCAAAAGAAAATGTAATGTTAAAGAATAGTTGTGGTTTACTTGTACTTTACAATGTATCTATTCTTCTCTGTACTTCTGTAAGATCAGATTTTTTTTTATTTTTTTTTTTGAGGTGCACCAAATTACTACAAGCTTTGATATGGTCATCTCTAAACTATTCTATAAGTCTCCTCCATGTCTGGTAACACACATTTTCTCCTGCAAATGTTTCTCCTACAAAGGAATCAATTGACTGAAGTAAATTCAGATAAACTGGCCATCACCAAGACACAAATAAAAGACACAAGATCTCAGCTAAGTGACTTTCTCTACAGAAAGAAGAGGAATGGTGTGAACAGTTCGTGCTGTGAATGTTGTCAATGTTGTTTGAATATTGATCTATAAATCTCATGTGAAGAGCTTTTTATTTGTGTAAAACTGTTAATGGTTCGTAATACAAATCTGAGAGGAATTTCACTAAACATTCTCCTCATCCCTCACTTAACTTTAGCCAAGATTTCACCCCATTAGTTTAGCCTTTCCCTGCTAAAACCTAAGTGGTTGGTCACAAAAGGATATAGACTGTTATCACTGAGGAAACCGCAAGGAGTTCAAGGAAGCAGTTCGACTCTGCTGGACAAAGAACATTCCAGAGCGACAACGACTGAGAAGCTAAAACTTCCATTTCTCTCTTCCAAATTTGTGCCCATTTTTGTACATGTTTTTATCCAAATTACTGTAGCTCGTCTGACCAGAAGCACCACTGTCATATATTTCCCAAATGATTTTAGGAGAAGGAACATGATCTTGGGTGTCATTGCAGCTCCTTGGGACTCACATGAGTAATTAGTAGATGGTGTCTGATGGAGCGTTCCAAAATGTTCCCAATACGACATCAGAGATAAAATGATTACACTATGAATCATCTGCATTTGACCTGGAAAAAGAGACATGATCTGAAAGAAAGTTCAAAACACTGAGAAATAATTAAGAACCCAGCAGATTCTGTCAGCAAATCCTTTCCAGCCCATAGAACTTATATTTACACTGCCTACCTCTGATTGGCCAAAAGCAAAAACAAGAAATCACTAGGGAGACAGCATAAATCTGGTAACAATGTTTTGTGCTTTGTGCTTTGGTTTTTCCTCTCTTCAAAATGCCTTGACACACTCTACCTGACCAGTCCTGTCCTCCTGTTAAACAGCAGTGAGACCTTTGGCTGAGACACAAAGGCGACTGAGAAGCGCAGTGTAAATGTTGCTGCAGCAAAACTTGAATTCCCTCGGGATCAATAAAGTCTCTCTCTCTCTGATCTCACAGAGTTAAAAGTTACAAAATGCATAGGAGCCTGAAGATCTGCTGGGAATAGCATATTAACAAAGCATACAACAGCAAAGCGGAATACAGTGTGTACAAAATGCTGAAGATATGTACAAACCTGTGTTATTGGA